TTGTCGTATGAGGTGGCAAGCAGCCTGCTTGGCTCGGAGCAAAGCGACTCTCGGTTTGCCGCCGTTACAGAACAAAGGCTGCGTGTAACCTGACATGCTAACACAGGCTCCTTCTCCTCCAGTGTGCCAGTCCTCCCCTCCACCCCCTGGGCTGCAGCATGAGTTGCGGCTCCCAGCTCCTACCTGATACTCCCAGTCCCGTCCCCAGGGTCCGAGTTGTCTGACATCTGCTCAGATAGCTGCCCACCACTGTTCATCTGTACCCTGCCTCTGCTGGAGCAGTTTTCCGCCTCATCACTCATGTTGGCTAAGCTGAGCTATGAAACTAGGACTGCAATAACAGAGAATTGCATTTAGGACATGCCTCAGTAAGAAATCTCTATGTTGTGCATTGGGCACCACACACCCTTAAAATGACTTAAAATACCATTATCAGGCCATTTCTTCCACACACCAGCACTGTTTAAGCTCTCTGCTACACTATGTGATTCAGCCTAGTGCATAAAGGACAGACATAAGCATTACTCAGTGACCAGTTTGTGAAGAGGGGCTCTGAAGGGCTGTGGCTGCACAGCACTGGGGCTGCCTGGCCTGGAGCATCCCCAGGGAGGATGAGCTGCCAGGGGACAGCCACCCCACCGCCTGCACAGGGCTGCAGCTGCCCCACTCTGCCACTCCTCTGCCGCTTGCCAAAGAGCAGCGTACATCAGTTAAATACCTGGCAAATCCTTGCTCTGAGGACTCCCGTAAAGTGGCTTTATGGAGGCAGTGGACAGCCCAGGGGAGGCTTCAGCCCCTCCACACATCTCCCTGCAGCAGTGCTGGGAGAGGAGCTGCCCTGCCCCAGCCGCACCTGGGCATCGCTGGGGGGCAATCCCCGGTCCTCTCAGTCTTTCTCGTGCTTCAAACTGGGGGCTGGGCAAACAGTCCTTTTAATCCCCCGAGCAGCCTTTTTCCCACATGACTAACTCTTCTGCATGCGTGACATCCGCCTTTTCTCGGATGAGAGCCCTCCTGCCAGTGCTGGGGCTGGGGAGCTGGCTCCCTGGCTCACCAGCTGCCCTCAGCCCGTGCAACAGGGGCTTTCCTGCTGGGAACACTCTGACAAGAGGAGGCTTTCATGAGATCCTTGTGTCCGGTCTCTGGGTGGGGAGCGGAGCTGTGTGGCAGCAGGGAGGGTGGATATCTCTACTCCTCTGCCGGCACATCCTCTCCTACTCGACATCTGAGCCACGAGGGACCACCTCCCACGGAAAAGGCACGTCCCAGCAGACAGTCTCAGCTCGAGCATCAGCAGTTTGGGCTTAGCTGGCTCTTCCTCTGCAGGAACAACACAGGGTAGATGAGTGGCTTCTCAGATTAATTCTCCATTGCCCAGCGGGAATGGAGGTCAAGGCGGCGAGTGCAGAGCACAGAGATTCTCCACCTACTGCCCCACTCAGGACATCCACCTCAGAGGGGGGAAGGGAAGGGAGGTTTCTGCTTGGCTGGCACCCACCTCCTGCAGCTAGTTTGACCACGCAGCCATATCCCAGTGACCTCCTGGAGCAGGGAGGGGTTTGCACCCCACTGGTCCAAGGCTGGGGCCAGTGCCTTGGACAACAAATCTGTATCTCTCCATAGCTTCCTGTTCCAAGGCAGGCTGATTCACTCCCTGTTTTTCAGACAGAAAACTGTCACCTCCATACAACAACTTTGCACTCAAAGGTTGCCAGCAGGCTGGTGGCTGTTTTCCAAGTCAGAGTGCTCAGCATCACCAAGGGAGAAAGTGCCCTGTGGGCAGGGGCAAGCCTCTGATCTGAAGACATCAGGAGCTGCGTAAAGATGCTGTCAGTTGTCTGAAGCATCAGGAAACCAAAGTGTTTTTGCAAGGTTTAGGAGAAAGCTTTGAAGCTGAATGATTTTCAGAAGGGCGATGAGTGTACAAACTGGCAGGTTAAATTAGGATATCATGAAGTGTTATTTTTGAAGGCTACAGTCACAATCAAGATCATATGTTGAGAAGGTAGAGGAGAGGTAATGACTAGGGGGCACAGTGTTCTGTATTCCTTACACCTTGTCCATTATAAAAAGCTACCCTGCCCCACTAGTGAAGGGAAAGGTATTGATCCTGTGAAACATGGCTTTCCATCCAGGCAACCCATGTTTCTCATTTCAGTTTTACTAAGGTGGGAGTGAGCAGTCCCAGTTCATTTTACAGTGACCATGTGTTCGCACATCAGCACCTGAGAAGTTGTTTAGATACAATATCATAAAGCATATTAGTCCAAAGTCTAAAATTCCTGTTGGTTCACAACTGATAAAAACTACTGCAATTTGTAGCAAGTAGAATTTAAATTATAGGAGAGGCAGAAGCTGATGGAGAGATAATGCTGGAACACTCTTGCAGTTCCTCTGAAATTAAATGCTTTCCATTTAGTCATTGCTGTAGCTAATAAGATGCTTTGATGACTTCAAATTGCCACCTCTAAGGGAAAGGGAAACACAGTAGGAAGGAAGAGGACAGATTTACTTTAAATCAAACTTTACTTTTTGATCTCAGGTCAAATACAGTTCCTACTGAACCTGCTGACTACTCAGAACAAAGGTGAATTTGTGCTATAAAAGTGGAATTCCTCTGAACTGATGCAAACATCAATCCAGCCACAAAATATCCAGTTAAAATGCAAGTTTATTATGCTAAGTTCATTCACAGTGCTTAATGTATTCATAAAACTCAACATACTGACATATTTGTGCTGGCAAGTGTGTACCACTCATCACTATCAATGTACTTTAGCTTTATGTGATTTGAAAACTAGCAAGTTCAGTCCATGAAAATAGGCATATCTAACTGCAAATTTTTCATTAGCAATTGTCTGTTAGTGTAGGAATCTGTGGTGTCACTGTTGCACACATCCTTTCTTGCACGCCCCATTAAAAGGAAACGAAAACCATGAGGGGCCAAAAGGATCCACTTGTAGAAAGCCAAGCACAGATTGCTCATTGTGGACAGCTGGTCACTGCGTTGTCTATAAAACCTTGACATATTTCAAACAGCTCACTTCATGAGTCACAAGTCACTGCACTGCTGAACTGACCAAATTTCTGAGGGTATCTGAGCCATGTTTAAGAGTATCTAGAATCACAGACTCCTACTTTTTACAGTTATTCCATGTCTTTGTTGCACTTCTGCCCTTAGTTTGAAAGTAATTTCTTTTGTTTTCCCACATGTGGGAGCTTACACATGAAAAACTCTCCTGTCAAGAGTTGGTTGGTCAAAATTGATGCCCAGTTCTTGAAAAAAATTATCAAACCAGAAGCTCTTGTGCTAATACTGTGATTTGTATTAATTTCAGAATTATTTCATTCTCACAGTGATGAAGCAACAGGAGTTGAATCCTACCCTGAGGCTCCCTGTGCCCACTTCACCCTTCTCTTTTGTAAACAACAGCAGAAACAATAGACTGGCTTTCCTCAAAATGTAGAACAAAGGTGCCCTTTTATGAAGGCACAGCCAGGAAAGGTTCTCCATGAAGAACAATGTGACAGAAGCAAATGTTGTACCTGGACAAACAAATGGGAGTATGTAGCCTGCACAAGGCCCATGAGGTCACCCCTCCAGGCTCTTCAGCACCAGCAGAGCCCCAGGAGAATACTGGGTCCAGCCAGTGAGTACCAGGCTTCAAGGTAGGCTGATAGGAAGATGCTTAGGGGTAAATACCACAGACAGCCTCTGTCGAGACTTTGTGCACTGTCCTGGAAGAGAAGAGGCAAATGCTGCTGTGACAGAACAAGCTTCAGTGTAGTTTTCTTCCACACACAGTAAGCATCAGTTTGCAGGATAGAGCGGTTAGCTTTCCTTAAAGCAAGTGGCAGAAAGCTCAAGTAAGGACTTCAGCATCTGCCCATGGTTTGCAACATTTCCTAAACAAATACTGGTAAACAAGGACTACTAATTTCATTTACAATACTAGTCTGTGTTTGATACAACTCTGAAGGTTGCACACAGCAAATAGTTGTGCCACAACCAATGTGGTCCCTAATTTAAAGAGGGCACTGCAAAGTTCCCAATGTTCTTCAGCACTCCAAATGTGTAGCTAATAACTGACAGCATAAACAACTTACTTATGCATGATTTGTGCTCATTCTGGCTTAGACATCAATGCTCCCTCTCAAGTAAGATGAACAGAACTGTAATGTCCCTTCTGAAATGTCAACTTGCTGGGGATGTGGAGCTAATGATAAACATTGCAGATTTTCTTCAGTCAGAACTTCTCTGGATTTATTGCTTCATTTCACTGAATTTTCCTTTCTCCTCTCTTTTCTCAAACACAGCTCTTGAAAATGAAACAGTTCAGTCTCAGGCATACCATGTACCATTTTCAAAATTCATTGGCACAGCACAAATGTCACTGAAAGCAGAAGCAACTCTTCTTTTAGGAAGTAGTTCCCCATATAGGGTATATTGCCTGTTACTCACTTTCCTTTTTGTTATCAGGTGCTGCATGGCAGGTGGTTTAGAGAAAAAGAAGGTAAAAGTTACATAAAACATCTCAGCCACATCCTCCAGGGATATATTTTGTCATCATACTATTTTCAGGCTCTGGAGACAGGCTTTACCAAATCAAAGTGTGCTTTGTTTTTTAATATGATCCTGCTGCACAGACTAGAAAAGAGATTTATTTCTTCTGTGTAGCACTATGGCCTTGATTAACCCCATTTGTGGTATCTATTTCAGTGAAAGAGCTAATACCAACATTGACTTCAAAGTGTTGCTAAGTGTGGTATCTGCCTGTTCATGTATCATTTGCTTCTCTCAAGCCATTTTCTGTCAGCAGAGAGCAAGCAAGATGTATGCTCTGGGTGAATCCCATATCATCATTAGCAGAAAATTACGCCAAACTGCTGTAAAGTAATTATGCAGCTACGAGGTGAGCTGGGAGGAAGACAGTGATTAAATACTTACCTCAGAGTCAGCCCACATTGCATAATGTTTTGTTCAGAGGCTTTCAATCTATTTTCGAGTTGCTAACCAGTGCCATGGGCTGAACAGAATCTTCATTCAGGCCTTGAGAAGTATGCTCAGATAAGCTTGGCCCTTTTTCATCTCAAGTGAATTTTATTTCGAGTATCATATAGTACAACACAGGATAACACTAAATCTTACTGGGTAGCTCGAGGTTACTCTTACACTGCTAAGCTGTTCTCACCAAAATCTTTCACAGGTTCTTGCAGAGATGCTGCAGTTACCACAACCCATTGTGGTTGCACTGAGATGTGGCTATCTGTCATAGAAAGAATGTGAAAAGTGTGAAGGTTTAGAAATTATGGGATTTGAATTACCTCAATAAAACTGCCTGAGTGAGAGACCTTGGAGCAACGACTGAGGAAGCAATAACAACACTGTATTCCATATCTTCCCTCCAACACTGGCAAGCTTCATCTTTGACATTCCTGTGAGAAATACATCTACATGTTGTGGATGGTAATTTTGAAGCACTGAGATATTATCACTCATAACTGACTTTATTAATCCTTTTCCAGAATGGAGTAGCACACCCTCTGAGACCCAGAGAAGATGCAGTCCTTGTCCAGAGGGACCCACCAGCAGGACATCAAAGATAAATGTGACAGATGAGACTATGTGAGGCAAGTGATAAGTGGGTTCCATAGTTTTATTTTGCATTTAGCTTTCCTTTTCCCTGACTCCCCTAGCCTCAAGTTTCCCCTGCTCAGCTTTCTCCCTTTACCCCGATGCTTTCCCTTCTCCTTCCCATTCCTCCCCTTCTGCTCACAGTGTTCCCAAGAGTCAGTGCTGAGTCAAGTGAATAGCCAAAGGTGCTCAATACAGACAAAATGCTGAAGGATTGTACAGTGGGAAACAACCCAGTACCCTTCAGGATGTCATTCAGGATGGTCCTTCAGCAACTTTTATTCTGTTTAAGCCTGTTCCCGTTGGTGAGGAATCTAATGGAATAATCCTAAAAAGTAAATGAGTTTTCTAATATTGACTCTAAACATGACATGGAAAAAGGATGCTTAATGATCAAATTCTGCCTTCAGTGATGTGGGCAGCTGTTTGGTAACTGCAGATACTGTGTTTTGCTTCAACACACTTCCATTCTCTGTGTACGGTTACCCACATACACAACTCCCCTCTTCTGAGGCACAGTTCTTCTGAAAACAGGCCAAATTTTGTCACCAATTTAGATGGGAATGGGATTAGGGCACAGATAGCACTGTTTGTATGCACAGCTGACTTCAAAGCAATCCACTAATGCAGTGTAGGGTCTGGCACTACTTGATGTCCTCTACTCCCAGCCAAATAGGAAACACAGGTCTGAACGGTCTCTGCTGACTCACCATCACTTACATGTTCTCATCTGGGTTTGGTGCACCAAAACCAGGAGCTGGTGTTTTACGTACTGAATCCTTACTAAACCTATCCAGCGGTCACATGAGCGTTCATCTGACCCCATGCTGGCCATGCCTTGGAAATCTACTCTCGTTTTATTACTAAAAAATGTAAGGAAGGTTTTTTTCAAAGAGTTGTGAAAGACTGTCTACAAGGGCAGATAGTGACAGGACAAGAGAGAGAAACTGAGAGGAGATTTATATTAGATATTAGGAAAAAATCTTTACCGTGAAGGTGGTGAGGTACTGGAACAGGTTTGCAGAGAGGTTGTGATTGTCCTACCTCTGAAAGCATTCAAGGCCAGACTGAACAGAGGTCTGAGCAACCTGGTCTAGTGGAAGGTGTCCCTGTCCATGGCAGGGGGTTTGGGACTAGATGACCTTTAAGGTCCCTACCAACCCAGGCCATTCTTTGATCCTCTGATTTAATGAGAGCTGGGCTGCTAAACACAGACTGCACCTTTGGAAAATCTGCCCTTTGTTGCAACTTTTATTTTCTACAAATTTTAGAGTTTGGAAGCTTTAATTTCCAGGTTATCTATTCTATGACTTCGTTAAGTGAAAAACACTTCTAGTACCAGATGTTTGCTATCCTCAAAGCTACAGATGTCCCACATGCTTTTTGACTTGGTCTCACAGAGGCTGTGAAAGCTCACATTTTTGTTTCTCAATAAATGAAAACTTTCATGCACTGATCATTGTTCCATCCAAAGGCATACTACATATCACAAAACAGAAGTCACTTTACAGAGAAACTTTTGCGTATGGCTTGAAAGAAAACCCATCAAGAATTGACAATGATAGATGATCTCCCCAGTGACATTCAGGAATAATGCAGTTTCACATTTACATCAGGGACAAAAAGCAACGGACATATTTAAATAATCATTAAATATTAAATGCCTGACACATGGCAGGTTTCAGCCCTGTTCTGTCACACATCTTCTGGAAATCTTTTCTGGATATTATCTGAGGCCTTCTCATTTGCGTTGTTCATGAACAAAAGCTTTGTAATGGAGGTTCAAGTGTGTTATCAGCAAAAGGTTCTCTCCAGGGAAATTAAATGAAAGGATGTTTTTCTTGTCTTCACATTTGACATTCAGGAGTAGTGTCGAGATAAGGTAGGCACAGGAGTCTCTTGGAAAATGACCAGATAGCAATGGCAGCATTTCATAAGGATGTGAACCGTTCATCATCTGCTGCAAAGACACCATTAATGTGGCCTGGTTTTAAATCCAGCACTTCACAAGGCAGCCCATTTTCTAATGTTACTGTCACTTCAACCTTCTCTTCTAAATTTTCTCTCTCTGTTGACTCTTTATTCTTTCTAAAAACAAGAAAGAAAAAATCATTCTGTTGACCTGCATCACTCATCACGATTCCACAGACAGAAAACTACATGTTTAGTCAGAAGTTTGTTGTAGCTTAAAGGCATAGTCTTGTGTACATCTTTGCTGTTGTAAATACACCATGGAAGATGGGAGGGCCACAGATTGGAAGTCCTGGTTTAGTGGTTTGACCTCAGAAAACCCAAAGTAAACATGTTGTAAGTATGTTTTAAATAATATTTCACCTTCTTATTCTGTAAAATTACTGGAGGGTGCAGAAGGAAAAGCTGGTGCAAAACCAAAATCAAAAAAATCCCTAAATCTCTTTTTATTTTACATCAGGAAGGACTGGACTAAACATCTAATCTGGCCCTGTAATGTATGTCATAGATTCCACCCCACAATGTGTACAAATTAAAGCATACCTTTTAGAAACAGATCAACTTTAGACTAACTATAGTCTCCAAATGCACAGACTTGGGTGCCCTCACACTCCAGTATTATCTTCTCCAGAAGTTAGGTACTCTTAATGCTGCAAATCTTTTTTTTCTTCAAACTTCATTAACATCCCCCTTCCTACCCAGTATATTATGTTTTTATTTTCTAGATAAAACAATCACATGGTTTTCACTTTTTCAAGATTCAGTTCTCCCAGAAAACATATTAAAATAGTTGCTGAATTAAAAATTATCTAAATTTAAAAGAAATCTAAAAAAAAAAAAAATTCTAAAAATAAAACCATGAGAAGATGTAATAGTGAAATATCAGTCAACATGTCACAACATTCCTTTAATTCCAAATTTATTCTGACCTTGAGAACTACTAGTTCATAGTTGAAAAACCTGATGTACTTTTCAGCCTGCATTATCAGCGCTTTCAGAGGATAAGAAATTCAAAGGTCAGCTGCACTGCTTCTTTCTATCCCACAGCATGTACTGTAACAATCTGACTCGGGACAATCATAAAAAATCTGACTCAGTGTAACTGCTAATAACAGCGATATTAACAATGATAAAATTTTATTGGCCTTTGGAAGATTCTTGGCATTACAGACTTGCTAAAATAAACCTGGGGTGTAGTAGCAGAAACCTCTGACCTCTGGCTGCTGTATCTGCTCTCACACTGATAAGAGGAATGTTCTTTAATACAAAACTGTGGGGACAGAACATAAAAGTTACTAAAAAGCAGGTTCAAAAGAAATCAGAGGAGTAGAAGATGTGTGGAACTCATTGCCAGAGGAATTAAGAGAAGCTAAAAATTTCTATAAATCCAAGAGGAGACTCAGCAAGTTAAGGGAAGAGAAAACATTGTAGGTAACCCATGATGTAGGTAACCCAATACATGAAGACCAAATCCAGCTCAGGAAGGCCCACAGCTGCAAATTAGATGCTGGGAGACTAATAGAGGGAAAGACTGTGTGCTTACTCTGTTTTCACTCTTCCCAAGGCAACTATTTATGGCCTCTGTTGCAGATGGGATTTTGGGGGAGTAGGTGTAGACTTCAGGCTAGTTTAGGATAGAGAGCAGAGGATGGTCCTGCCCTAGGCGTGTGGCAAATCTATTACTGGAAAGGGAAGTGTCCTATTGCTGCAATGATAGGAGAACAAACACATGACTGGGAGACAGTGTGTCTGATCCAGCCCACTGCAGAGACAAGGGCTACAGTCACGGGGAGCTCTTCAATCTGCAGGCAGCTGTACTTGCAGTTTTATATGTTGGCAGTGATGCATAGTGAAGACCTAATTAAGTCCAAGAAATGACATGAGTCTAACTCAATACTGAAATCCCTTTACAAGCCAATCGTGCTTCCCTGCCACCCTGAGCATCAACAGCCTGAAGCACCTACTTTTGGACTTATCTGACCTGAGGTATTTAACTGATACTTTAAAGGCCTTTAAAGACAAAATGCCAGATTTATGAAAAGTCAACACCATCCTTGGGGCCAGATGTCCAACACAGCTTACTAGGCAACAGAGTTCCCATTATGTAAGCTCTGGTTGGGTTTCCAAGAAAACTAATTACTGGACATTGTCAAGTCTTTGACAACCTGGTCACTTACTTTGGTGACTGAAAAAGAGATCAGCACTTTTGAAATTCTCTTCTCTGATGTCTGGCTCTTTTCCTCAAGAAACAAAATAGCCCAGACCATTCTTTTTTACCACTCCAGTCTTTGCAACAATAGATGGAAGAAGTATGTGCTCACCCTCTCTCTCATTCCCCTGCCCCTGCTTGCAGATGTTATTGATGTGAAAGGAGGGTTAGAGTTCAGCCACAGACAAATCTGCTCTGAGGAAAGGTTATATATACAGGTAGAGTAGGGAAACAGAGGGAGAAGTGAAAAGAAGTGTAACAACTAAAAGGACAAAAATATGAGACAGAGAGGGTGCCAAGTGACCTCAGGTAGGCTGCAACAAGCCTGGTGGTATGCCACGTAGTTTACACCACATTGAGGGGAAGTGCTCAAGTTCTGCTGAGTTATTTTGAAAATACAGGGAGAAATTCCGTCTTTCAGCAAGATATGAAGCATAAATTATTATTTTAGCTAGAAAAATCATAGCTATTTAGCATAGTTTATTTAAATTACACTTATTTGAAATGTTCAAAGAACCCCTTTCAGTCAGGCACTATAAGGACACACAGAGCCATGATATGACACAGAGGGCAGGTATGGGCTTCAGGTAGCAACATTATTCTCTGCTTTTTCAGAAGAGTTGCCTGTGTTCAAGGCATTAAATAATTCAATCCATACAACGTGGTTGTGACAGGGTTAAAACTATCCATATACTCCAAGTCCCTGCCCAGACTCTTTCCCTAACACCATCTTTCATCTATTCTTTTTTGAATTTTGGGGCTTTTTGAATACAGAAAGAGGTTTTGGAAATTCATGCAACTCCTGTGAATGCAATATATAACTGAAGGGATTCTAACTACACTGCTAAAGATTGTCTATGAGAAGCACTTAACCTTAATAATAAGTGTTGTTTTTCTCAGGTCTTTTAATGTTCTTCAAGATAATAAGGAAGCAGAAAGCAACAGTCTCTGCAACACACAGCTTTTCTTATATTAATCCCTTGTTCTGATATATTTGCGGATGAAATCTATCACACAGTCAATGATTTTAACATTACCTAGTTTTCATCAGAAATTTACCTTTTCAGTTCTTCTGCTGTTCCTGTATGAATCTATTGCTGAAGTCATAATTTTGTGTTAACCTAACCTCTGTGGTAGCCAAAAGCATGGCAGAAGCTGAACTCGTATCGTAGAATTTCAACTCAGATGAGAAATTTCTATTCCTTATGCCCCAACCAGAGCCAACAGAGATGGCAGGATCAAAACATCTACTCTCTGTGTTGCTCCAACATGCTCACACTAGGGAAGCATGAATAGCCTTCTCTTTTTCACCAGAGCCACCAGAGGGCTGGTGAGAAACTGAGAGGAAAAGAGAGTATCTTTCTCCTACTCAGACAGCAAATACCTAAGCCCATGGGGAGATGTGCCCACGAACCCGTGAAGGGCTGGGTGCTTTGGATTCATCATGTCATGAATGGTAGGTGAGACCCACAGACCATTCCACTGAGCAGGCCCTCTTTGGCTGTACATTAATCATTATTGTGTTCTCTACTGGGTCTTCTCAAGCTGCAGCAGCAACATGTTTTTCAGCCCTGCCAACTTTCAGCGCTACTGCCCTGGAAGAAGCTCAGTGACTGCCAGCCCTCTCCCTCTTGGTAGCTATGTGGGTAGTCTGTCAGAGGAGGCTCCCCTGTGGCACAACAGACCTCTGGAAGATTGAAATCAAATGTCTTTGTAAAGCTCATCTCTAGTTAGGTGGCCTCCAGTATCACATTCTGACACTCTCCATTTCTTCATTACATCCCAGCATTACTAAGGCATCTATACTTCACAGTTAAAAATTTTAACCCCTTTCCTCAGAAAAGGAACATGTTGTCTTTACCTAGGAAGGGAAGGGAGCACAGCTAAATTTCTCTGAGGCTGCTCTGAAACACAAAACCAGCTCAGCTGACTTAACTAGCCAATATTCCATTAAAATAGAAGAAAGGCTAAGCTGCTTACTTCTTGCGTTTCTGAATCCCTGAAACAACGAGGAAAACAATCCCAGCCACAATGAGACAAAGAACAACACCAAATACAATAAGCCAGACAGGCGTAGAGGGTTCAACAGGAGGTGATAAGGTTGAGGTTATCTTCAGGAACTGCAGTGTTTTGTCACTCAGTAGAAAGGCACTGTTGATTCTGTTCCGGTTCATCCTTCATAAAAATAATTAAAAAAAAATAATTAAAAAAATAACATCACCACTCTTTATAAAGATATTGGATAAGTTAAAAACACAGGAAAAAATAAAAGGATTTTTCATTAACATGCTGCAGTGTCTGGTAGGACTGAATCTGATCTAGCATGATGAGTTAAAGGCCGTGAATGTTGTCCACCTTTAGTGGGGGTTGGCCATTTCTACCAGGCAACTAGCAATAGGACAAGAGGACACAGCCTAACGCTGTACCAGGGGAGGTTCAGGTTGGATAACAGCAAGAATTTCTTCTCTGAAAGGGTGGTTAAGCACTGGAATGGGCTGCCCAGGGAGGTAGTGGAGTCACCGTTCCTGGAGGTGTTTAAAAAATGACTGGACATGGCACTTAGTTCCATGGTCTAGTTGATAAGGTGGTGATCAGTCAAAGGTTGAACTTGATGGTCTTGGAGGTCTTTTCTAACCTAACTGATTCTGTGATTCTATGATTTTATGATTCTATGATGTTGGTAGGATTACACAGACCTTCACTTTAACACAGACCTTGTCAGTAATCCATGGACACCCACACACTTCCAACATTTTGAACAACAAATTTTCGTATGTATCTATCTGAAAAACTGGGAAATACAGATGAGACCTGAAGTACACAATTATTATTTATTTCTGGTTTGGACCATGTGCTGAAGACACAGCAGGCTGTAATCAGTAAGAGTGTCTCTGTTGTCTTGCTGATGCAGCATTCAAGATTAGCATGGGAGTGGCAGATATACCCTGCAGTGCTCAGGGGACTTACTTACAGTGCCCCTTGGTCTCTCAAACTGAACCATCCTGCATGTTATGGGCAGTACATCTGCCCCTGCTGCTGTAGATCTTCTTAGATCCATGAGGAACAGAATACAGTTTGGTCCAAAAGAATCCACTCCTATTGTCAACATGTCCTTCTTCTCTGCAGGATGCAGCTAAAGGGATTTGTATTTTGCACATTTTTTTCCATTATGAAAAACCGTAGGTCTGAGAAATACACTTTTTCACGAGTAGTACAATTGTTACCCTGTAATGGGGTATCTTCACCCATTTTCACTCCCTGTAATCATTTGCAGGTAATTTCAGATCTGAATCTAAGCAGCTGTCAGAGACTTTAGCAGTATCTTTCATTAGTTGTTTTAAAAAATCAAAAATTTTTGAGTAAAAAAAGTGTTACATGTATTGGTCTTGAGAAGTTTATTTTGATTGCAGTTGTATGAATTAAAGCAGCTCTTTTTTGTATAAAATTAAATTTATTTACCACACAGCAAGTATTTCCTAAGAAAAGATGTATGAGAAATACAGGTAAGATTTTTCAAACTTCTTTTCTTGGAAATCATAATGTTTGGCTGTCTCTAAGACAGGAAGTTCTTAGCTGTAATGGAAAGCCAACATTCCTGGAGAGGACTGAAAGCCATGGCATTTTATAAGACTCATTATATGGTAAGCTGTCATTTAGAAAAGATTTCCATCCTTACTGATATGAAAGGATCATTGTGAACAGATGAAATAAGCATTGTTCAGCCTCATCTAATGGCTGGACTTTCAGAATTACATACACATGCAAGCAACTATAGGTGCATTTCATGTTAGTGTATGCATCACTATATCTTGTGTATAATTATGTAAGATCTTGACTCTCAGAAAGAGCTCTGAGATGGTTTACCTTCCTCTTTATTCTTACTTTGTAGAAAATATCATGCAACAAAATTCTGGTCCATGGCTAGTGTTCTTATGTGCTACCACAGTATGAGGAATTAGAGTAAAGGTTTAGTATGGAGGCCTGCAATCAGAAGCAATTGAACAAAAAGTATTGTAGTTTTATAGTCCATTTTATTTCTTGTTTCTGAAATAGATAGGAATTAAAACTTTTCATAAATAGCATATTTATCAGAATGGGGGGACAGACAACAGTTAAAAAACCAAACAATAATAGCATCCAATTTCTGTGCCGAACGGGGCACATAAAAGACTTAAATAAATCAGCTTATGCTACTGAGTGTATCAAAGAATAACAGAAATGCAAAAACCCCACATTCCAGTACTCTTACAGAGAGCTTCAGTGAATAAATAATCTGCTTTCTCCACTAATGCTATGAAGCTATTGTTTGGTGTCTCTGTAGGAAATAGTTTAATCTGCTCATAAGCTTAAGTTAATCTTTCCAAAAGAAGGCCTACTCATTCATCAGGAATTAGGCATTACACCTCCACAGAGATAACATGAATTTTCAAGACAGAGCACAGAATGCCTGAAAACAAAGAGGTCCGTTTTCCACCCTGTGCTTGAGAAATGTACGTGAGTTATGCAGCTTGTGGGACTCATCCCTATAAACCCCTTGTGAAGGTTTGGTGGACCACTGAAGTCAGACTACCCACTTTTTCTTTTTCCCTCATCAGCTCCACATTCTTGCTTTTATTTGCTACATAGTGTGATTTTTAGTAGAAAGCAAACTGATTTGTACCACACAGTACTTTGTACAAGCAATGCTCAGCTATGATATTGACTGGCATTCCAGAACCAGCTGGAATGAAAAGAATGTGAGCAGAAAGTTGTTTAATCCAGGCTGGGACACAGCCAGCTCTGTTAGGAGTTCACACGAGCTCTTCTCATGTGAAAACTCAACTTCTAAATTAAATCACTTGAACTGTTAGCAAGAAGCACTGAAAGGGAGCCTATGCTCATTAGTCCAGGTATAGATGTGCATGTAGCATGCAGTGAAAGTTAAATTACATTAATTCCACCCAGAAAGTGTGCAATTCCATCATCTGAGGGAGAAGGCGCTCTTGCTGGTAAATATAGCAGTTGGATGAGAGCACTGTATGTGCCACACACCGAACAGCAAATCACAGGTAGGGCTCTGGAAAGGGACTAAATTTCTTCTGAGTCTCCAGCATTAACAGAGACTCTTTCCAAAGTTATAATCCCAAGGCTCACATGCTTTGCATTCTGTGGGACTGTTAAAAATCCTCTGATCTCCCCTTCATGAAAGAGTACTGACCCCTTGGTGTTTTAACTACTTGGATTAATTCATCCTTAAAGAGGAAGTGTGCTTATTCATACAAGGCCCAGAGAGAGAAAGCATCCTCAGTAAGCAAGGAAGAAAAGGTTGCAGAAGCAGTTACTGTACCTGATGGCTGCCTCTACCACACTTCCAGGAACAGTTGTCACATTTTTGGAAGAATCTGTGACCACAAACCAAAATGACACACGGTCTGTCACATTGCAGAGCAGCACATTGGAAATTCTGCAGGTAGTTAAAAAACAAATAAAAACCCAAACATTAAAGATGCATGAAAGGAATTATTGAAATATTTTAGATTTTCTTAATATATTGCTCTCATCTAAGCCCCCCTTAGAAATCTCATTTTAAAAAAAGTTAACAGTTAATGCTCAAGAAAGAAACATCACTCATAACATTTCCCATTTCCTAATATGACAAAAAAAAAAACTAAGGTTATTAAGACCAAACGAGTCTTCAAATAAATTTTTGAATCTCTCACAAACTTGCATGGTCTTGGACATACATTTACCATAATCAAATAGAAAAATACATATTTGAATATTAATCATCAGGGCTGTCACAAAGATTATATAATGAGGCAAATGCATTAATGAATTAGGAATTTTGGTTTTGACAGCAAATAATCAAGGAACAGGCATTGGGAATTCCCTACATGATTGTCAAGTGAGTGCAGTTCTTCTACAAGATATATTTGTTGGAAGGAAGAACAGTGGAATTGATGCTGGGTTTTTTGATATCTTTGTTCACAGAACCAGGCAGAGTAGAGGGAACAAGCTAAATTTAGTCATTCTACTGGCCTATGCTATTTATCTTATGCTGAAAAAAAAAAAAAAAGTATTATCTATTTTAAAGGAAGATTGCTCAGCTTTATGTGAAGTTTTTAGTGGAAGGGCGTAGGCACAGAGTTTCTCAGGGCATACGATGTAACGGTGTGCGAAACGCCTTTCTTCAGATTCTTACAAATGGGGTTCCTGACGCTAGCGCCAGTAAGTGTCGGAATCATCGGCAAACCCTCCTGGAATGGCATCCCCACGAGTATCTGAGCTAAGGAAGCGCCAGGGTCCCCGCCGTGCCCGAGGGACGCCCCCGACCCCGCCCGCCGCCGCGCCCTGCGGGCAGCGCCACCTGCCGGCCATCCCGCCAGCGCCGCCCGGCCCGCAGCGGCAGCGGGAACGGGGACCGGGCGTGAGGGATGGAAGGGATCCTGGAGATCATCTAGTGCCAACACCCCTGCCTGCACAGGGAAACCCTTCACTAAACCAGGTTGCTCAAAGCCCCACCAACCCGGCCGTGAACGCTTCCAGGGACGGGGCATGCACAATTTCCCTTGGATCTGATGCTGTATCTCACCACCCTCATTGTAAAAAATTTCTTCCTAATATCTAATCTAAATCTACCCCCTTACAGTTTATTACTGTTACCCCTTGCCCTGTCACTACAGACCTTAGTAAAAAGTCCTTCAATCTCCTTCTTGTAGGCTGCTTTCAGGTACTGAAAGATGTTATAAAGTCACCCCAGAGCTTTCTCTTCTCCAGGCTGAACAAAACTAATTCTGTCACCTTTTCCTCACAGGAGAGGTGCTCCATCCCTACAACCATCTTGGTGGCCCTACTCTGGATGTGACCCCACAGCTGGATGCAGTACTCGAGGTGGGGTCTCACCAGAGCAGAGCAGAGGTGCAGAATCCCCTCCCTCAACCTGCTGGTCCCACATCTTTTGATGCAGCCCAGGATATGGTTGGCGTTCTGAGCCGCAAGTGCACATTCCAGAGAGATATGTAATAAAATGGATTTTGTGGAGCTGAATTACTCACTTTTACCTCTCTGGAACTATATCAATTTGGAAATACAAAGAATTTTTATGGATAAAAGAGGAAAGCCATTCTCTGGAATTTGAAAAGATGTTCACATCAGTTTACTGGCAACAGACAGAAGATAAAAGCAGATCTATTCTTCACAAAACAAAAGCAAAGCACAAAATATACAGGAGGGGAGGGAAAAAAAGCCTACTTTTGGCTGGTGGCTGACAAACTTTTGCTGACTTCACAGAACATCTAAAACTGTATCTGCAGAGGAAATTTTCTATCAGAGGAACTTATAACAGTAGGACCCAAAACTTTATGTCATAGTTCCCAAAGCTGCAGTTTCTGTGGTGCAATCAAAAACTGGGCCAGGTGGAAAATTTGTATGTGTGTTGCCTTACAGATGTTCTTGAAATGGCATAAGTGAGGAAAGTTTGATCCCCAAAGAGAAAGATAAATTTGGAAGACAAGGACTGGCAGAACATCCTGTCTTTTTCACTCTCTTTCAGAGACTCTTCAGCCTGGGGTCTTTCCTCAGTGCCAAGGCTTTCAGCATGAGACAGGGCAGTCAGTCACCATAGGGGCAGCATCTCTCTCTAGAACAAACAGCACTGAATCAATTGGGCAGCAGAGATTGCACTAAGATATGTAAATTTTGCTGCCTTTCTGATCCCCGTTGTGTCTAAAATCCTTGCACAATTACAAGCATCCAAAACTTGGCTTCATTGCCACCACTTTTTCATCAGCAGAATCCAAATGCCATAAATCCTTCCAGGCCCCAAAAAGAGTAATACAGCTCACAAGAAATTCAAAGGGGATTGAGTAAACACCAAAACAGACTAGTTCAACAAGCACCGATGTGGCAATGTCTGTGCAGCAGGTGCACCTTTTTTTTTCTCCTGCACTATTTGCATTCAGGTCTGATTCACAACATGCAGAAGCATTGCAGCTGTGCCGTCACACTGTACAGATCTGAGAAACACGGCTTCCCTATGCACTAATTAACTGTATTTGTAAACATATATGTGGACATCTTTCTTTTTCCTTAGCAGCCGGTAGACTTTTGACATGGAGATTGTAGGAGTCTGTTATCATCAAAATGACAGGATCCTGGTTTGGCCTTATGGCACCACGGCAAAAGTCCAAAATTGCATTTCCTTTAATATACACAAGTGAACACCAGTGAGTAGATTACAGGAAATCCTGACAGTTCCTTGCACTTTAACACCACCATTGTTCCTTATGGAGATTTAAAGGAAGGTTTAGGGTTAAGAAAGAGCTACCAGAGAGTCAAAGGGAGCCAGGTGCCTATAGTGGCCATTAGCTCATGAAAGAACCACAGTTCCATGTCCTGAGTGCCCATCTCCTGTTATTCCAAAAGCATCAGGACTCTTCCAACCCAGGGCTGTGCAGCTGCTCCTGCAAAGGAATGTTATTTTCTCCCCTTTCATGAGAGCAGTCACAGGATCACCTTGATGTAACAGCTTTAACTCTAGAAGCTTATTTTGTTGTTATAAATGGTCACAATATTTTTAGTATCAAAAATAGATGGTCTTAGGAAGATGGATAGTGTGGATGAATTTTTTGCTGGTCACTTTGGAGGAAAACTGCTGGGGTTTTTTATGTATAAATGAGGGGAAGATGTACCCAAAGTAGATTCTGTTGCTTGAATGAAAGCAAATGCGATTACATTCTTTCTGCTCTAAAGATTAACTAGTCTCACGCCCAGAAGAGATGCATATTATTTCAAATGAGTCACAGATTACAGAAACACAGACTACAGACAATAATTTTTTAACACTGAGAGATCAAAGGTTGGCTGATGTAGTTCATGACTGTATATACTGAGAATCAATTGAAAGCCTGTATGTAAAAGGAAATAAAGGGGGTTTAATTCTCCATTGAAAAAGAAGTATTTATTTGATCTGTATTAATAGTTACTGAGCTATTTGATGGATCGTATCTTTCTTCTGTTTCACACAAACTTGAAAATTTGACAAGCCTTTCAAACATTAAACACTGCTCCATGATTTATTACATTTCAGTTTAGAAATTAACTTTAGAGAACTCGAGATGTAACATGCCATCCTGCCCATTCTGCATTGGGTCACTCAGTGGTTACACAAGGGCAACAACAGCATCAACTGCTGTTTGCAGCAACACATTCAAATGTTTGTCATCACCAGTTGGCTTTTATCCAGCTCCAGAAGCCTAACAAAAGGTGACCTTTGAATATCAAAAACTATGGGACAGGCTGCAACAATGGTTACCCTGATCCACCAGACAAATTATTTCAAGGCCTGATCCAGCTCACTGAAGTTTATGGCAGTTGTGGCTGTGGGTTACTCAAGGGCTGTGGGTGTGTTAGAAATTAAGGGGATATTAAAAGTTTGTCACATCCTGGCTATGGTCATGTGGATAGTTTATATCCTGGTAGAACCAGTAGTTATGTAAAATAATGGTGCATTTTTCAAAATCTTCAATTAACCGGATGCAAAATTTGGGTAAGTTTAAATGCTACCAGAATGCAGTCACAGGCAATTTGTTCTTTTATGACAGAATAATTGGTATTTGTCTTTTACAACTCCTGAAGAAAATGTGTTGGTATTCGCCTGCAAAAGCTCCTGCAGTGAAATGCAATTTATTTGCCAGTAGTGTAATGTAATTTATTTGCCACAAGATCCTGCTTCTGCCTCCCTCTTCACCACACTGCAAGCCTCTGCCACTATCCTCACCAGCTATGCCAGAGTGCCACTTCTGTGCACAGCATGCTGCTCTATCCTGAGTGCCCCCACACCTCCATGACCACTGCAGAGGGGATGGAGAGGGACTGGCGCTCCTGCCTTCCAGCTGCCAGCCACACGGATGTGGAAAGGGGTGTGTTATTTCCAGCACATCTACAGGATGGAGGCTTTCACAGCCTTCCTGCTCCCACGTAACAGGCAGATTATTTGAGGTGTATTGGGAGGTTTGTCTGGTCTCTCTGTCCCTGTACGGGGGCTCTGAGGTCTCTTGGGATTTGGGAGAGATCTGTGCATAGGATACTTCTCAGCCTGTGGCCTAGAAGTTGTACCAGATCTCAGAGCTGCACAGCTGCCCTTCAGTTGACATGCTGTCTGTACATGACCATAAAGGTATCTCTAAGTCCTAGATGAGTTATGAGTTATACCTCCAAGGTACACCTCAACAAGTTATACCCCATGAGGAAGTCAATGCCATCTTAAAAAGAGCTAAAGATGCCCAAACCTAGCTGTTTCCAAATATTATACTGACTTCTTTTCCAAACAACTTAGTAGCAGGAAATTGCAAGACCACCTCCAAACTGGAGTAACACTGATATCATCATGTTTGTCCATAGGAAAAGCTGTCTTGGTGGAAAATTGAATTGAGTATTCTATGATTTCCCAGAGTGGGTACACATAACTGCCATTACAAATTTAACTCCTTTCCTTCTGGCTTGATTTTTTTCCCATTCCTGCACCAACCTTTCTAGTATTATTTGATTCTGCCAAAAACCACAGTGCTTTGTGAAAGCACCATGACTTTGAAAGAAGAGAATAATTTAAAAAAAGGACCCAGGACTAAAATAAGTATACAAAAGCAAATCTTTATGGATCAGATGCTGGATGAAAACTTTTCTAATTTGAAAAACTGAAAAAAAGCCCTACAGAATAATTTGTAATTAGCTTGTATCTTGAACTCATTTATTAAAGTGCCATTTTAATTGGGTTTAGTAGCACACTTGGCTGTTTTTGTTAAGCTTAGTGTAATGGCTCTCTTGCTCAAAGGAGACCACTCCTGAGGAATTAAAATGAAATAGCAAGGAATCAAACATTCCTGTTATATTGAGGGTGAAATCCCCTTCTATTTAACAGAAGTGCAGCAGCCACAATAATCATCATGTGACTAAAGTTAACAAATATCTTTGCAAATGAGGAATATGTTTCACCTGATGCAATGATAGTCTGAAGGAGTTTTGTTTTTAAGTAAATTGAGAACCTTATCCACATTAGTCTACCAGAACCCCAAGTCTTTTCTTTCAAAATGAAAAACGATGAAAAAAACTAATAGGCCTATGGAAATGCACTTACAAGGTTTTTCATTTAAGAAAGATAAGAACACAGTGAAAATACAGCTTGCTAAATGATCTGTCTAATCTGGTATCTAATTTCATAGAGTAGCAAGGATCAGAAGCCTGAGAAGAATATTCAATACTGCAGGGCAGATTTAATCCCAAAATCAATTAAAGGCTGATTTATATCTGAACTGCAACATCTGAAACTTCTTGATGCCAGGTAACTCAACCTCTGTGATCCTGGGGATAGAGATCAGCAGCAGAGCACAGCACTGGCAGAGCTGTTTATCTTCTGGGTCTCTGAGTCAGCTCATCTTCAGCATCCTACTGAAGCTGAGCTCTAAGATAGTGTGCACCAAAGCTGCTTAGTCAAAGATCTTCACTGTCTCTCTTGACCTTCCAACATGTCCCTTTGCCTCCTCCCAGGATGGTCTCCAGAAGGTGTCAAATCTTACTGCCAGGTTCTTCTGAAAGTGAACTGGCACCATCCCACTGAGACCCACAGCTATGTCACTTCATATCAACTGGGATACTGGTTCAAAGATTGAACATTGCTTAAGACAGTGTGATGTTTAACATGTATCTGTGTGTCAAAGAAATATAATGGAACAGTCTGCTTTTAGAATCTCTATATAATGATTTCTGCAGTTCAGCACAGCAGAGAACAGTCACTACATCCAGCATTGTTCATATGCATAAGGCAAATCTGAGTAGATGCTTACTGAGTTGTGCTCTTGCTGGAATATCTTCTCATTGCAAAAGCCACCATTGCTTTGAAGAGGTACTCTTCATTGGCATCCCAGGCATACTGTAAAGCAAGATGGAAAATAATTAGTTTCAGCACCAGTGCTGGCAGTACAGAGAGGCAAAAGAGTCATTGAACTTGAAATGCTGTATTGATCAAGAAAATTATTAAATTCTCTGGTTGTGCTAAGAAAATAAATGCCCATTATTTAGTATGCACAAAGGACTTCTTCTAGCGGAAACAAAACAGCACAATATAAACTGTAATATAAATAATATAAACTGTAAAGAATGTTTCCAAAGACTGAATTAATCAAATGTTTCTGAAAGCCGATCAAACTGGAGAGGTAAAGTTTCTTGTACCAAGACTAGTTATATTATTAGAATTCTCCCCACACAGCTGCACCTATGGCCTTGCCTCTTTTGCTGGATAAACTCAGTTAAAGTAGAAAGCTTAAATCCACCCTCAAAGGCTACTTAGCTCTGCCTAAAAATAAATTAAAAAGAACTAGTGCTGAAGGTAGTCTCTGGGAGCTGGACATCAGGACACCAGGAATTAAAATGAGATTGCAGCCTTATTGCTGTACACGGCCTTTGTAACAAGAAGACTCAACTATATTACAAATTGCTACACTGCATATAAGACAAAAGAAAGAAAATAGCATCCTTACTACTTCAATAAGAAGTAAAATACAGGCTCCAAAAACTGGTGTCTGTTGTCCTGATGAAAAATCATGCTTCTGTAATTTTAGTTCTCTGAGACAGCTTCTCTGGCTTCCCCTGGGCTTTCACTCACATATGCAATGCTAATGACCTGTAAGAACTGCATATATTACATTTTTATAACAGGAGCCATGACTGAGGCATACTGATTGAATTCCCCCTTTCACCTTTCATCAGATTACAAAGATTATTAGTTCCTTGGAATTATATTAACGGAAGTTAGAAACAGCTTTCTTCAGTCAATCAGAACACACATTTCATCTTTAATTTTCAGCATTAAAAAAATCTGCTCTGTAATCACCCAAACCAAAACCAAATGGTGTGGATACTTAACTCTGTTGACATCATGAACCTACTTTTTTTGTGGTCCTTCAAAAAACAACAATGTACATCAAAAAGCAGTAAACAGCATTGCCAAATCTTAATTCTGGTTTTTAAGTTCTGATTTTGGATGCATGGAGCTGCAACCCTTCCACAGAAAAAAAGGAATCCAACTTTCAGGTATCAGCAGCCCTCATTTTGCACTGGCAAACTGTGGACTGGGAACCTAGAGAGGGCCATCATTTAAATGGTAGAAAGTCATACTGATCATGTTTATCATCCCTAGACAAAGGATGAGTTGTGAAATGGGCTCACTGAGATGTGGTAAGACGAGGACAACAAAGCTAAGGCAATAGGCAACTTGAGCAGCACTAAAATCCAGGTGCAGTGCTGAGAACCTGGGTTCTGACTCACCCCTCTTGCCTTGTGAATGGAGCTGGGAACATACTGTGATAATGCATACCAGCCTGGGAACTTCAACCGAGAAAAAAACCAGAGAGAAATTCTTTGGAAAAAAATTATAAAAGCCTGTACTTTGATCCCACTGCACTGATGAAAACATGACATTATTGAGAGCAACTATCACTAAAAGAAAAAAGAGATCATTTAGTAGAGGAATTAATACAGATGGGAGCCATAAAACTATTTATCATCATTTTAAAGACATCTGTATTTAAACCATGAAGCACAATTTGCAGCATTAAAAGGGAAGATCTTCTATTTTTCTGCATGTGGCACTATTGACTGAATCCCTACATGCCATCTGCAGCCTTTGAGAACAGGTCCAAAAGCACAGAAAAAAAAATCATTTGTTACCCAGTGGACTAAAACAGCTGTAGAGATAATTTAATCAGTTGTCTTGAAAATGGATAATGATGAAGCACACTCCATTTCATGCTTACATGGACACAAATGCAATGCAGCACTTCCAAGTACATGTACTTGATATGTTTATGTTTAGTGCAATGCATATATACATGCAGTTTGTCACAATCTAGTATTCAGTTTTCATGAATAATGTGTTTGCCTGGGACTCCTTCAAGTCAGAGTAACTAAGAGGGTATCTCAAAACAGAGAAAATAATTTGTAGTGAGGAATTCGAGCCCCAGCTGAAAGAGTAAGCACTTGAAAAAAAAAGACAGAATAAACAGAAAGCTGGAAGAAATGGGGGCAGGGGACTGGTAGAGAAAGTTCAGCAGAAATCAGGGGTCTGCCTGAGTGAGGAGAAGATGCTGCAGAAAACTTCTGGGAAGAGGGGCAAGAAGCCCCAAGAAAATGGAGATGAGACAGGAAGTAAAGGAGATGGAGATGGCTATGGGCTCCATATGAACAAGAACCTCTATAAAGGACTGCATGAAGGAATATGCAGGGAGAAGGTAAAATAATGAGGAGGAAAAGTAAGGCAAGAGCACCTTTAAGCTAACAAACTGTATGAACTCAGGATAAGTGGGCATGAATTTATAGAAACAAGTCTCTAATCAGCAGCTTTCTCCAGTCAGAGAGGTGCAAAGAAACCTATAATTATTTGTGTTGGAAGGGACCCCAAAGATCATCTAGTTCCAATTCCCATGCCATGGCCAGGCACACCTTCCACTACACCTGATTCATTCTACCATGGGCCTTTATCAGTTTTATCTTTATCCTGCAAGTGCAAAGGTCTGGACTGCAGCTGATGACTGAGGATGTTCCTATGCAGTGCAGCTACTGCTGCACATTTTCTGCTGATACACAGGAGATACTAAATATCATTGGCAACCACACACTATAAATGTAACTGTTATCAATGACACATTACATGATGGTATCAGAACTATTAATGTTTACCATCTTAATTGCTCTGCAAAGAAACCAACACAAAATCTTGGCACAGTTGCACCTGCCATCCTTTATACATTAAGAAGGAGCAAAATTAGACATAGCTGACTGTGAAAGTTAGTCTTAAATTCCTGTTACTGAAAGACGATGATTAGATATATGGCGAAAGATGATGAGTGTAGGTTGTTGATGGGGTGAAATGCTATAGTAGTGCTTTAAGGAAGACAAAATTTGAGTAGAATGAGATTAGAATATTACACGATTGCTCTGAGCAACCTGACCTCATTTCCGTGTTGACCTGGCTTTGAGCAGCAGAGGACTAGGGACCCTTTAAGATCCCTTCCCTCCTGAATGGTTCTGTGTTTTAATTAGACAGCCATTTAGACTGCAGTGTGGCTATGGACACACAAACACACTTCTGTGTCCCATCTGGTGGCAAGACACAAGGTGTATGTCAACCTTTCTCCTCTTCATCCCCTACCCTAGAAACAGCCTGAATACATGAGCCAGAAGGGCAGTGCACCTTCTACTTCACCTGGCTGCGACTCCCGAGGTGCCAGCTCTTCAACTCTTACAGTTAAAATGAGTGGTGACATCAAGGTACACAGAATTCTCAGTGCACATCACTTCTTCTCACTCCCTAGTTGCCTCTGGCCCTTTTGATTTAATTCTCTACCCCTCTGCTCACTCCATGAGTAGGAAGCAACTAGTGACTAGCAGCTAATCCAGAAGCCACTCATAAAGTAAAACCATCCCCAGAGAGACTCATAAATCACCTTCCATTTGGGCCTACAGGCACCGTTTCCTCTCACCGATCAGCAAACAATGCTCTGTCAAGTACACCCATCATTTGCAAATAAAATGATAACAGCTGAATACTTACTGCATCTGAGCTGCTCTTTCCAGCTCCATTCTGATAAGACCTAAATAAATACACTAAATGGAGCTCTGTGCTGCCAAGTACAGTCTACCTGATGCACATTAAAAAATGGTGTCCTGTTTTTATCAGCCTCACACAAGGTGGATGGCGTGCACTAAACCACGTGAAAAGCTGCACTAACTGATTTCCTATGCCCCTGAATGTACATTGGAGTTATCCTGCCAGTCCTGGAGCAAAATTCCCACAGTATCAGGGCTTTCTGTTATGGTGTAGCTTGAAGTGACTTGGGAATGAACGAAGCTGGGCATGTCCTACTGTGACAGTATTACGCTTTTCTTTGCTAAAACAAATAAATGACATTAAAAAAAGTAAGGTGTCCCAAATTCTTTAACCAAAATGAATTTCAGTTTTATGGTAGTTTCAGTTTTCAATTTCAGTCATCCACAGAGAAGTTTGCAATGGCTATGAAAAGGAATTGCTGCTACCTGTGCACTTAATAAACTGGTCATTATTTGTGGGTGATCTTGTATGGATCATACCACTTTCAACTAGTTGGTGTTCTAAAATGCTCTTCTTAGCACTTTCACACACTTTGTGAAACTCTGTTATACGAAATAAATTACTCTCTACAAAAAAAAATAGACTCCTCAGTTATTGCTTTTTTCTTGCAATAAAAAGGGCTTTTAAAAGTAATGATTTGTTTCATACCCTTTTTGAATAAAAAAAATTAAAAAATGACAAATGATCAAACAAAACACCCTTATTTTACTAGAGCTGGAGAAGCAAAAAGCATTAAAAAAGGGCATTACTGGGAACTGCAATTTTCATTCTTTGCTACTATGTTGAACTAAGATTAAATCAAAACATTAGCAGTTATCTTTTAAAGGAGCTTCAATAATTATTTTGACATATTTTCAGCCATAGTATTATACTAGTTTTAATAATTTTTTAATGAACCGGCCTCGCATTACTGTTTAATTGAACTCTCCCACCCCAGAGGACTGACTTCAATACAAATTTCCAGACATTTACTTAAGCAGGTATCTTGAATTAATCTTTGCTATTTTTCTGGTTTATAAAGTTATCAGTGAAACCAAGGTGCCTGCTAATGTTACTTTAAATTACCTGATATTTCAGGGTAATTTTAGAACAGCTTCTACAGTCATAGGGAGTTTCTCATTTCACCAATCTCTTATAACATATAACCTACTGCTTTTTGTTTCCCAGGGTTCATAACATAATCAGACACCACACTTCCAGTGGAGATGACTGTCCAAGACATTTCATATCTAATTTTATGCTGAGCCTGTTAACACGACGCAGATTTGCCCTAAGTATTGAAAACTATGAACAAAGTACTGGGATCTGACGTATTAAACAGTGCCTTAGATAAGGAAGGACCATTCTGCTAACTAATGTCCCAATCTCTTACATACGTCTCTTATTGCTCACACCAGTACTTCTGCATTAAGCCCAAAGATCTGAATTAAGCCAAAGCAGTGCAGTCCTCATGAGACAAGCCTGTGCACCAGTGCAGGGAAAAAAGGCCACTATCCGAAGCCCTCCATTAGTAGGGAACTGATGAGACATGCTTGAATGATCTCTACAGTTAATGCTTGTCTGAGAGCCTGATATAAAGTCCCATTTCATAAAGACAAAAAAAATATTTTCCTGCTTCTCTTCCCAGACACACTTGACTTTACAAGCAGCGCTCTCAAGCAGAAGTGCTTTTCCCAAAATACAGACTTACATTTATGCAGCACCTCTCATGCATAAAGTGTAACATCCCTACTGCTCTTCCAGAGGAAAAAACCAAAATCTTTGAAAGAAAATTATCTTTATGAACAGCTGAGATTTATACTTCTCTTAAAGGATGACATTTTAAGGAATGGGCTAGTCAAATGTCAAGAAATGGATCCCTGGATCATGACTTCAGCAAGCTATTACAATTAACAATGTAAACCAATTTGCTTGTGTTGCCTCCAGAACTTTTCCAGTATATATTACTTCCATTTTGGCAGATATTCAGTTAGGAAGAATATGTGAAGATGCTTTACTTACTGCATTATCTCCCAAAGCTCTTTTGATGCTAATCCGCACTTTGAAAGCATTTTGTGCATCTGACACAAAGACAAAAAAGGAAACATATATTGATAGTCAGCAAAAATAGGATGTTAAATAATTTACTTCCCTAATTATTTCACAAACAGCAGCTTCTAAATGTGTCTTAACAGATCACCTCTTTAAGAGAACAGAATTTACTAGCATAAAAAGAGCCCTACAGAGATTTACCATGACCTCTTTAAGTGAGATCAACTTCCATACCTAATTTGCAAACTCCTAAAAGAAGTGAATGTTCAGCATTTCAATCTTCAAACTGAAGACTATAGTTAAAATAAAAATCTGAGAAGCTGGCAGCTTTGTAGTCATAAACTGATAGCTGTTTTACTTGGGGAACGATGGGAATCAGCTCCAAATCTTACCTGGCTTGCAGAGCTCAGCATGAGCAATGGCAACTACAGAGAGTGTAAGCAGCAAAGCCCGTAACATCCCGTCAGCATGGAAAGGTTGAGGCAAAAAGAAGTCGAGTCTCCCCTGTAAAGCACTCTTAAACTTTCTGTGACCCAGGATTAAAGCATCAGGAGAACAAGTGAGCGACCAAGTAAAAGGTTTAATAATTAACCCCCGTTATTTTAGCTAAAAACAGGCACTAGAAACAACTGTCTTCTGCTAGTTATTTACTAGCTTTCTCTGTAATAAAGAAAACAAAAACAAACAAAAACCTAAAACCACAAAAACCCAAGCAAACAAACAAACAAAAACCCCAAACAAACAAGTTCTTAAATTTCCTTCTTCCATTTTAGAAAAATACAAAATGTCCCAGAGTGCTCCAGGCCAACCTTTTATTTCCACAGCTGCTGTGTCAGAGATACACACGAGATGTCTGTGGGACATCACACCAGAGCAGCCAGCAACTGTGACCCACAGCACCTGAATTGGAAAGTTGCCTGACACCAGATCCCAAAGGAAGCTGCCACCTGTCTTTCATGGGAAACTGTCTGGCCCACAGAGGGTCCTTGAGGATAAAGGAAGACTGGGCACCCTTTTCACTCCTCCAAAAGAAATGTGTGATGAACACAGAACTCCTAGACCCAAAAAACAGGGCTCTGGATTTGCCCCTCACTTGCCTTTAAACTCACAGCACTTCTGAAGGGCCACCCTGGTGGGTTCAGTGCTGTATCACCCTACTCCCACCCTGATCCCACTCCTGCATCCTGTCTCAGGAGCTGGTCTGAGCCCAGCGAAGTAAATACCTTGTTCTACTCAAAAACTCCCCGTGTCTGAGGCATTGCTTTGCATGAAAAGAACTGTTATACACATGGAGAAATACGTCACAGGCTCATTACAGCAGTAATGAGAATAAGAAAAGGTGCAATAAAAGGACATGAGAAACATCTTGAATAGGGACATGTTCTTGTTTTGTAGACATGACCAGCTGTGTGTACATATAAACACACACATGGAAATACTTTAATGATGCACTCCATACTATTAATCAAATGTTTACCAAGACAAAGAAATAAATAAATGCAGAGGAGAAACAATTCAGAAACTGAAATGCACTGCAGGTACTTGAACAGTCTTTGCAATCTAGGCAGCTAGACCGGATTATTTTATTCCACTCTGCTGCTGTACTCCCCCTGTAGCCATTCTGATTAATGGTTAGTTCCTAAATTGAAGACTGCTTCAAAATTACTTTCAGTTGGTCCTTTAGCACTGGGAAGTGTGTCTGGAGACTGCAAACCCAAAGACCTTCACATGAACGACAAACAGTGAGAAAATTTGACTTTACCATTGGACTGAATTTATGGAAGACAATAACCAGTACTTACTACATTAGAATAGCTGGACTTTCAGGTAACAAAGAACTTAACTGTTTCAGTAATTTAATCTTATTTTTAGAATCCACTGTTAAAGGACTTGATATCCCATCTTTAAAAGTCATTACATCAAGCTGATTCCCAGGCACCACTTCAGTCTCACTAGGCAACCAGTTCTGAGTACAAAACTACTGGATACATTATCTACTTAGACATTCAATCTATGCCTATGAAAACAAAAAAGTGATGCATTAATTTCTAATGATACCTTAAATTAACATGCTGTATGTACACACATCAAAATGTACAGATGTACGAAAGACTATCCTGTAACATTTGTAACATAAAAAAACTTAAAAGAATGTGAATGCAACCAGTTTCATGGTAAATTCATTTGCATTGCTTCAATAATGAGCATGTAAACTTCTTTGTACCTTTGGGGAAAACACTGAAGAACTTGGGAAGAGAGGAGAAAAGCCAAGCACTCTTTCACTGCTGCCAGAAGGTAAATGGAACTGAGCGTCAATACACAGCATCACCTCTTTTCCCCCCCGTAAAACACCATAAATCAGTTCTTTCCCTCAGAATCACATGGAGCCGGTGTCAAAGTACATTGAAGGCACACAGCTACCAGCAGGAACAACTCAGAGTACATGACTGGATTCCCTGATCAGGGCTGCTGACTTCCAGCCAGGATGGCTGATTTTCCCCAATTTATCTTGCTGGCAAGAAGCAAGACAAATGATTTTTTCCAGCAGAGAGGGGAGGAGGCCAGGGGAAGCACCAGTGTGATAAACACCCTAGCTCAGAGCTCACAGGGTGCACATCATGCAGTTGATATATATGTGCACAGCAACTTGGATGTGTGCCAAAGGCATCCAAGGATGAAGGGCCCTGTGCTTACCCAGCTGTATATGCACAGAGCACTGCACATATGCAACTGATTGCTGCACATCTGCAAACTGTTTTCGAAAACCAGCATGTTTTTTAAACAAGCCAGGTGGACATGCAAGTTGTTAGTAAGAAGATACCTTTTCTTCAAATTAGTGATTTTTTTAAATGCTGTCTTAAAAAGCACTGTAACTTTTCAGGTTACAAATGGAGTGTATCTGCATAATCAAAAAAGACAGACGTTTTGTATCTCTGTTATAAATGTACCTGCATGGCTAACCTTCTGCCCAGCCTCTCTGCTCCCATTTTGGCCAGATGTGCAGCACTGTTAAAGCATGTCTGCATTCATTTGCCACTGACTAATGAGTCAAGCATCAGTTTGCTTGAACAAATGACAATTCACATATGCAAGGTATGTTTTTAACTCTCTATTTTGTGAGGTACTAGATTTTTAAGTAGTTCCTCTTTTATAGTACCTTTATTTCTCCTAACTACTGTTGAGCTACAGGTCATAGTCACGCAGAATTTCATGCACATTCTGCATTCCAGAAACATCATTGAACTAGCGTAAAGAACTATTTCTCGTGTTGTGCTAAATGTATTGTCTGCCTGGTTGAAAATAAGAGTATCTCTATAATTTTTTCAGCAGTTGTGGCTTCCAGAAGTTCATCTATTATCTGTACATATATACTTAACAGTATATATACACCATAATTTGGACTACCAAACAAATCAGAAGAGGACTGAAATTTCAAGAAAGCATGTGACTTGGTAAAGCAAACAAACAGACCCCTTCCATCTTCTCCATGTGATTAGCAAAGTACTTTTTCCGCTCCTTTCAATGTCCTTGAAATGGAAAATCCCAGGCAAGTAAAATATTGATAGATATCGTATAAGTTAATTAACAGCTATGGCCAAACTTAACTTCAGTTTTCAAATTTGACAAATTAACAGTTTTAAACTCTGAGGAAGTTAATCTTTAGTCTTAAATAGTTGTGTTCAACTCTTATGAGGCAGGAGTCAATGTGCGACTGTCAGCATTAGTCACTCATGGAAATGTACCTGGAGAACTGCAGACCCAGTTGTGCAGAGCACTGTGCAGTTCCCCAGGGGCAATGCAAATGACAAACACTGTAGGTCTCCTGCAGGCTGCAGAAACTGATGAGATTGAGATCTAAGCAAATCTCAGTATCATCTGACAGACCAGGCTGGCTGACAAAGGTCCAGCCTGAGTCTCATTAAATGTGCGTTTTTCCAGAAGGTTTTAGGGGAACAGGGTGTTGAAGGACGACTGCCACCACTGTCATCACTGTAGCAGTGCAAAAGTGACTTAAGTTGTCACAGAGTTTTTTTATCAGTGCTCACAGGAGCAGACAACATGTGAGGAATTGTTTACCCCTTGAGACAGTCGTGCTGGCATTAGCAGCAGGGGGGGAAGGACGTGCTCTCCAGCATTCACATGCATCACCTTGGAAAGGGCACTTGGCAGTGGAAAGCACCCAGAATGGCCTGCAGTGGGGCTGGCACTGGGAGTGAGTAAACAGAGGGGGTGGCGAAGGATGGTGCTGCCACTTCACTGTCGCGCTTGTAGTACAGCCTACAGCCCTGAAGTGTCAATGAAAACTGCCACACCCCAAACCCACACTTCCTGGATGTTTCCTAGTTTACATGTATTTTCTGAGTCAGACAAATCCATACTAGTGACTGACTGCCATTTCCCACATGTTCTCTTATGTTCATTTTCTTCAGCTAGAAAAAAAGAGAGATGTACAATTCCATGAGGAAAGTACCACTCTTCTCCTGGAGCATACAGCAAATATTATGTGAGGTGAGGACAACTTTTACATAATCTATATGCTTATAAAATATATCTCTCCTTTTTCCACATAGGGCTTGAGCAAACAACAGAGTGAACACTTCTTATCTGCTTATATCAGTCCACAATGATGGAAATACACAAAATGAAAACCAGAAGAACCACATGGAAATGTGTGCCAGATGGAGTCCCTGCACTCTCGCTCAGATCTTCTCTACTGCACATGCAGAGTCCTGTGCACAAATCTTGAAAGACATACAGAGATTTATAATGCAACGTAGTAGTAACTTCAAGTTGTAAGATAAAAGTTTCTCTGCTCTGGGCTACTCCATGAAGTATAACCTGTGCATCCAGTACTGACCTTGTCATGATGAGGTTCACACAAAGCTGTACCATGCAAGCGTATTTTTGTTTAGGAAATATGGAACAATAAGTTCCACAAACCTCTTGAAGGTGTTCACCAAAATAAAATATGCTTGTAAAGGCCTGTGGTCTGTAATTCCAGTGCAAGAACTAACAGCTACAGACAGGAATGCTACATTATTTTGGATATGTGAATGGCTCTTGCCTGGAATGGTCATATGTTTTTTTTTTTTCACTCTATCAATTAAATTGTATGAAACTCTGTGCATGGACTTGAATATCATGCTGCTGTATGTGTATAGATTAATAAGAATAAACAAAATGGAAACAAACGTAATTATATTGTATTCCTGTTTTGAAGAAGCTGACAGCTTTTTCCAGAATCATTATGGATATTTGTAATAGCAGGCTTGTGTTTTCTTAAAAAGAGATCCTATTTTTCACTATTGAAATATTTAAGCTTAAGATGGTGCCTTCCCCAAGTACATTGGGAAAATGCCATGATGAAATGTAGCACACCAACAAAAGGAATGACTGAATTTCTCAATTTTGACTTATACATAGTCTAAGGGAAGGTTAATATTATGGCACTTATTCTGTTGAAAGGAGGACGAAAAGTTATAGTTGCAATTTCCTAATGAAATAAGACTATGGAAAACATTTGGTTTTTTTTTCAAAATTTTCATGGGTGTCAATGGTGCAACAGTTGTAAAATGCACAATACTGCCATCTTCTGTATCCAAGAAGCAGCAAATTGTATGTTGTTTTACATGTATGTTCTGCATAAGAAACAGTAAAAGTAATAGTGATGGCAACTCCTTCATTTTAAGACAGTGGGATCTGACACGTGGTTAAGTAACAGCAGAGAGGTCACAGTCTGAATATTCATTGGTCAGGTAGCAAATGTAACTGCTGACTATAGCAGTCACATGCTTGCTCTGAATAACTTCACTGAGCTTCAGAATAAGTAAGAGGATACTCATTAAGCTGTTAATGAACAGCACAGTCAATTAGTCAGATTTTGACAAAGCCTGCTGTGGTGTGCTTCACCGCCAGCAGCTCAGACTGTTTATGCAATACACTACCCCTAGGATACAGGAAATAAGATCCTACATTGTGGTTTAGGACAATAATTTAGACATTAATCAACAATGTACATTATTAATAGGTATGTAAAACATGCCCAAATAAAACCTACAAATACTCTGCCCCTGAGGGCTGCGATCTATCAGATGTGTCACCAAGGAATTGATTACTGACAACTGGAATATTTTCACCCGTTATATCCATGATGGTCTGTGAGGAGTAACTCATTTCCTGCCATGAAATATGTTTATAATCAAGTCAGGTGTATGCCTCAGAGACGATGATGGGATTGTATCAGCAGTGTGAGTTCACTGACCCACGGACCAGCCTGGTGTGCTGCCACTGCTGCACTGGGGCTGTGACTTCCCTCACCTCCGACAGCCCTGCTGTGGGCCAGGGCAGACATTTATCCCTCATGGTCGTGGCAGGCAAGAGACACACTGGGAGCTCACCTCTTAACAGACAGTGTGAGTTAAATTGAACAGTGTACCAGTCCAGTGTGCTGCTGCTGCTGCTGCACTGGAGCCGGGACTTCCCTCAGCTCTGGAAGGTGTGGGAACACCCCACATTCCCACAACTCCCAGCACAACCGAGGTAGCTCACAGAGCTCAAGTTCTTGGCAGTCAGGACAATCACCCAGCACAGGCACTGCCATGTGCAGCAACACCCCGGGAGAGCTCAGGCACTGCAACACTGGCACCCAGTTATTCCACAGGGCTGAGAAAATCACACATCGCCAGGAAAGGCTGAATCGGGAAGTGCCTGAGAAGAGACAACTGAGACGGGACCTCATCAGTGTCTATAAATATCTGAAGGTGGGGTGCCAAGAAGATGGATCCAGGCTCTTCTCGGTGGTGTCAATCACAACGACAGGAGGCAACAGGTAGCAGCTGATGCGCAGGAAATCTCGCCTGAATACAGGGAAGAACTTCTTTACTGTGTGGGTGATTGTGCACGGAACAGACTGCCCAGAAAGGCTGTGGAGTCGCCCTCACCGGAGATGAGTACTCAAGAGCCATCTGGCCGCAATACCATGGCACTGTGCTGTGGGGTGACCCTGCCTGCTGAGGGAGGTCGGACCAGGTGTCCCGTTCCCGTCCCTTCCAGCCTGGCCTGTTCCGTGACTCTCTGATTTCTGGGGCATCAAAACACTCAGCGCACTCCACCGCCTCTGCTCTTCAAGAGAGTTTGGTAAACTGGAATTCAAAGCGGTGCTTTCCCATGCACTCCCTGACTCGGGAACGCTCCCGACAGGAGGGATAACAGGAGGGATAACGGGAATTCCGCGCCCTCTCCCGCCCCGCGGCCCTGCCGAGGCCACCCCCGCTGAAGCCCCCCCGCCGCCGGAATGGATTCCTCGCCCTTCCGCCGCGGGGTCACGTGACGCCCCCTCGGCCCCGCAAGATGGCGGCGCCCATGTTGCTGCCCGAGCCCCCCCTGGGGAAGCCGAGGTGAGGCCGCGGCCGGGCCGGGCTGGGACCCCCCGGGGCGAGGGAAGGGCCCGCGGGGCCCCGCAGAGCGTCGCGGCCCCGCCCCGGCCCAGCCCGCCCGGGTGCACGGGAGGCGCGGCTGAGGTCGCCCCGCGGCCGGTGCCGGCAGTGGCGCAGCTTGGCGCGGCCGCGGCCCCCGGGGCGGGGGGAACCGGGGCCGGGGTGCGGGCGGGAGCGCGGCCGTGCGGGGGCAGCGAGGGGCCGCGGGGGCAGCGAGGGGGCCGCGGGGGCAGCCGGCAGGCGGGGCTCGGGGCAGTGGGGCTGCTCCCGGCTGGGCCGGGGCCGCCGTGCCCGCCGTGCCCGCCGCGCCGCGCGGAGCGGGGGTGCCCGGGGAGCGGCGGCCGCGGCGATGAGGAGCGCGGGAGGCTGCGGGAAATGCGTGCTCGGGCTGAGCCCCGCCCGGCCCCGCCGCAGGGACGGGAGCCCCCGGCCCGGGTGTCCGGGTCTTTGGAAGGCTCCGGTGCCGTTCGGCCCGAGGGGACGCGAAGCCCGGCCCCGGAGCGGTTGGTGCGGTGCCGCTCCGTGCGCCTCAGCGGCGTGCTGTGCCGGCCCGGGACTGAGGGGAGTTGTTCGCCCCCTTCCTGCCTTGGGCTTCAGGAGAGCCTAACCAAGCGTGGGAACTGGGAAGGAGGTTCTTGCTTTCGTATCCAGGCACCTGCTGAGGGATGCAATCCGTTTCAGGCAGAGACACGGAGTGTTCAGTCTGGCCAGGTCAGAGGGCCCATGTGGGGACAGTGCTCTGTGAGGGCCGTGCTGCTCCCGGCACAGCCACCCTGTTGTCACCCTGGCACCACTGCAACTGGTGACCATTTGAGCAGCCCTGAACAGGACTGGAGATGCTGGTGAAGTTCTGGCTGTCTGAGTTATACTTGTGGAATCTTTTAAAATTACACACTCCAAAATGGGAAGCTTTTGATGTCCCATCAGTGTTTGGTGTGACACAGTGACAGGAGTTGGAGATTGATCCTCTCTCCTGTTTTCTCCTCGAATAGCCCCTTTCCAGCCCAGAAAAAGGGACCTCGAATGAAACTTGCCAGAAAAGGGGTTGACGTGAAAAGGTTTTAGATACTTAGAGGGGTTTTAACCACAGTGCAAACATGGTGCTGGTTGTAGGCAGCCATGCAGAGCTGTCAGACAAGCAAGGGAGAGTCTGGCCAGGCTTCTGCAGCAGAAGAGCAGAGCTGAGCATTGTGGGGGGTGTGATGTGTGTGTTGTTATCTGTGCATTGAGACTGCTGCCAGTGGAGAGTATTGAGGGAGATGAGAAAAAAGTTGAAATTCCATAAAAAGACTAGAACGTGCAGAAAGGTGTGCCAAAATTGTGGGATAGGAGATCCCCAAGTTTTTCTCCCTGATCTGATCTAGGAATCAAGTTTCAGGAGCTGAGAAAGAGTTCATGGAGTTGGTGATAACATCAAATGTTGCAGAGCTCAAGAAGGATGAGACCCTGTGTGGTGTCTTGTTGCTGCTGCCCATGTGCACCTCTAACAGCACAGCCACAGATCTACAGATTTCATTGTCATGTCAGATGCGCTGCAGAGTTACTGTTTCATACGAGTGGCTGTTAATTTTGCGTTTTGTGGGATTTTTTTTCTGCTGAAGGAAATTAAGTGCATGTATGACAGTAAAAATTAGTTGTTTGGCTGTTTTCTCATCTTCATGTTCCTCATCTTCAGCCATCAAAAGTACAGAGCTATTCTGAAGAAAGAGAAGAGGAAAAAAAAGCGGCAGGCGCTTGCCAAACTAAGGGACTCAGGTAACTGTGAAGTTCTTGGTGCTGTCAGTGGAACTAGAAGTGATTGGTTTTTTTCTTTTTTTTTTTTTTTTTTTAAGGATATAATTCTGTGTATCCTTTCCTGGCTATAGCATCCAGTTGTGTAGATGCATTGTTTTGTGTTCTTTCTCAGAAGCTACAGAAAAAGATGAATCTGTGTCTGAGGAGGAAGAGGAGGAAGTGGAGAAAGAGGAGGAAGAAGAAGAAGAAAAAAAACTTGAGGCAGAAAGGTGAAAAATCTGGGAAATTGCATATATGCAGTAGACACTTTGGTAGTCAATTCCATTTTGATACTTTAAAAAGTTTTAATATATTCTGTAAAACAGAATATTTTTTAATATTTCAGGCTACAACATTCTTTCTGTAATGCCTGAATGATTCCATCTGAATTTTCTCTTTTAAGGAAGATTAGATAAGCTGCAGTTATTGCTGGAGCAATAAATTTGAATTGTGTGCGTGACAATCACGTCAGTTATGGATGCTCATTAAATGGAGGGTCTGAGTAGTGTCTGGTTTCCTTGGTAGACAAAAACTACATGAGCAGTGGTTGCTGAGAGAAGAAAAGGCCCAAGAAGAGTTCAAGCTAAAGAAAGAAAAAGAAGAGGCTGCAAGAAAACGGCAAGAAGAAGAAGAGGTGATGTATAAACTGACTGTTACTGTCGTGCCTGGAAATAAGGTAGACTTAGGGTAATATTCTTACTGTTCTGTTATGGACCTATTTTTCTTGATCATCCTGCTGTGTTTGAAAGCACAGGCTCTTCTGTCCTTCATTTAGAAGAGCAAAATTGAAAAGGAAGAGAAAACAGCAACTCTTTAAAAGGGTTTTTGTCCAGAGATTTAGTTGCTTGTGATTGGATGGAAACTTAATGGTCAAGGAGTTGTTTGGGTCAAACAAGATAGTTTCGACTTGCATTATAAAGCATTATTTCCTTAAATAATTATTTTTTTTATCATAAAGAGGAAGATCAAAGAAGAATGGGAAGAGCAGCAAAGAAAAGAGAGAGAAGTGGCACAGCAGAAACAACAGGAGAAGAAAGAGAGAGAGGTGATTTCTGGTGGTGGGAGGATAAACATATTACATATCCTGTTACGTGATGAGATGCAACAGTTATACATGTTGAAGAGGGATTTTGTTACAATTAGCAAATGTATAAATGTGTTAGTTACTCCATTCTGTTTGATTTCCTAAAACTATTAAATCACTGTTAAAGAGTGTCTAATGGATCCACATAAAGGGTAACTTTTTTTAACACGTCTGGTTGTTCACAGTATGTCGTTGCTTACATCAGTTAAATACAAAGGCATACTGCCAATGCAGTTCTGCTATGTGCACTTTCTGCATCATGTGTTAAAGATGGTCCTTCCTTAATGTCTCAGTTGAACACAGTCAGTGCTGAAGAAAATGCCCAAGGAGAATATGGATTATGGAACTACATTGCTGTTGTTCCTTAACACAGTTCTTAATCAAAAGATGTGTTACAGCTCTTCTTTACCTGACTCATCCAACAGGATGTATCTTTTTTCAGAGATCCTTGGGTGGAATAAAAAAATTATGCTGAAGATAGAAGTCATTGATAATGTTTCTGTTAATGATACATTCTTCTTAAGTTTTAGAAGTTCAATGACCTGGATGTAAAATGTCCTGTACAGAAATCCAGTGTGAGGACTGGCCTGTTATTCCCAGTGAAGGGTGACTGCAGCTTTCTAGGATCTGGTCATTTTTGATTCTCCACAATCACAAAAGTTTCCAGTCATTTCATTGGGAAATGTCTTACTACTGTGTCTGGTAACCACAGCACGAGAGGAGCCATGAGCAGACAGTTCTGGCTCCTGCAGTTAATAGTAGGTTGTGTCACTGACAATGTAACACTTGCACAGGGAATGCCAAAGAACAGCAGTTGTTGTATTTCCTGTCTTACTTCCTCTGGTGTTAAATGTCCATTTCTCTCTTTGCAGAGTAGGTAGAGAAAATGATGCTCTTGTCCTTTATTTAAGGTTGAGATAGAGTTCAAAGAGAACTGGTAACAGCAGGATTTTGTTCCTCCCCTCTCTACTTGTGCCTGGGTTTCCCCAAGCCCTAAGTGGGATAATTTGGTTCTCTGAACTAGATAGAAGCTGCTTTCTTTTTTGCTTTGTTGTTGGCTTGTTTGCTTTGTGTTTTTCTGGGTTACTATTTTACTGTGTTAGTGAGTTAAACTGGCTCATAGAGGACATTGACAGGCACCCAGAGGGAAACTGATTACCCAGGTAAGAGTGGAGCCACCCATTCCAGCAACAGGAAGTTGTTTAACTGATTTTGCCTGTGTCTTGAAACAGCAGTTTACTCAAATTCTAGCAGTAATTTAAAAAAGAAACTAATTTCCTTCCCTAAGATGAAAAAATAGATTTTCTGGTTTGTTGAGTGGTGGTAGTTTGGGGCTTTTTTTGTACTTTTTGTTTTGGCTTGTTTTTCTGTTTACGTGGTTTGGTTTTTTGTGTTTGTTCTGGTTTGGTTTTCTTAAATAAGATGGATAATATCTGGCTTTCTTGGTGATTAGTACCAGATGCTCTCTGAGTTCTCATCTTGGATTGCATTTTTTAATTTTTATTTGCTCTTTTTTAATTTAATTAATTCTCTTCCAAATTAGAACAGTGCTAGCGTATTTTCTTGTTTTGATTATGTTTAAAAGTCTTTTTTTCTTGGAACTTCTTAGAATAATTTTTTAGAACCAATTTCCAGACAGATTTGGAGAGTGATATAGTTTTGCTCAGCCCACTTAGAAGAAGTAAGGGAAAGAATATCCTCATTGTCTTCCTGTATTTGGAAGGCTAGATACAGTTAACTTGTGATGTTTAGGTTTCTTAAGAGTTGCATCTTTTGCTTTAACAGAGGCTCACTGAGCATTGTGTTTTTCTGTGTGTTATACAGAATCCGTAAGAAGTTTAGTGCAACTAAATGATTATGGACCTACCTGTAACCAGGCTGTGTGCTAGAGCAGGAGATACATTTAAATATTCAGTAGTTCAATGACAGTTTTAAAAAAGAAAATTAAACTTCTATGTTGTCCATTGTTTAGTTTAGAAAATCATCTACATAAGGGTCTTGTCTGATGTATCCTTTAACAACTTTATAGTACATGAACTGCTACAGAACCAAAGTAAATTTCCTGGTTTTAAAGCAAACCCCGTCAAACTTTCATTATGCATAATCATTGAGTATTGTAAATTAGGTTCTTAACTAAAGACAACAGATGTTTTGCGTGTCCTCAGGGTTTTCACTAGTCCTGTGTTTGCACCATTTATAGGCAGCTGTGCAGAGGATGCTGGATCAAGCTGAAAGCCAGGTATGCTCAGAGACTTTTTGAAAAGAACTGAAAAGTAATTTAATTTCCATCCGGTGTTTGTCTTTTAGCATGCTGTCCATCTGCTCTTGAGAACCTAATGGCCCGAATAAATTTAATATATAGTGGCTTGCATGAGCTGTAAACAATTATTTACTGGGTGGAACATAATTAAGCATATTTCTGGCTGGTTGGTGGCAGTGCAGCTGTGCATGCTGATGACTGTTCAGGAGATCTGAGTCAAAATGAACCTGGAAATACTGCTGTGTGCTGTTAAAAAACACTGTGCATGATGGTTTATTTGTGAATTGTAATTCTAAATAAATCTGTCAGTTCTCGGTGGCAAGACAAGCTTGTCTTTTTAAACAGATGGCAGGCTCTAAATAAGAGGATTCAGTGGCAGAGGAGGGCACAGATTCTTAAAGAAAAAAGAAAAATGTTGGGGAGGAAGAAGCTGACTGTTCAGATGCTTGGAAGAGCATGGATCACAAGCTGACAGTGTGTAGCAAAGAAAACTGCAGTTTTCATTTGAATCTAAGAAATTGCCTTAAAGAATAATTTGGCTTTTTATCTCTGTCATAAAATTAAACTTGTGAAGATTCTAGCTCTGTTTAAACCACTGCATGAATCTGAAAAATGAGTTTTAACCTAGTTAATGCATTGTGTGTTGATCACCATAGCTACATTTGGTTCCAAATCATGTTTAAACAGTTCTTTAGGTAGGGAACCTAACTCTGTTTCTTAATATGGGTAGAAGAATGCTCGAACTGCTACGTGCCCAGAGCTCAAGATGTATTAGCAGCCATGTCTGCAAAGGAATAGGCAGAAATGTGGTATGTTAAGAGATTGCATTATAGTGTCAGTTCAGGGTTCAGTTACTGCTGAAGTAACAGGGCTGTTCTGGTGAGAGAAAGTTGTGGCTGCAAGTCATGAACAGAACTGGTAGCAGGGTCAAATGCTGCTTGTAAATAAACAGAGTTTTCAGTTGATTTAGAATGAGAACTGTAAAGCCACTCAGCTTTACAGATTGTTTGGTTAGAATGAAAACTCCCTTTTTAAAATGTGTGTCTTGGTTGTGGTCAGTCAAGGCTTGCAACTTGGTAAGCCCATTTTGAATTATAGAAATCTTAATGGACCAAGATGACCACTATGGGCAGTTTTACTTCCAGTGCTAACTATGAATATACTTTTTTAAAATTTTGGCCTTTGGCAGGTTACTTTTATTTTAGTCTTTTCTCGATGCACAGAACAGCAGTAATGATAAGCTTGCTGAGCTTTGAGCTATTTCTCAAACAAGTAAATAGTCCTAGCTTTCTCTCTCCCAGTTGTGCTGGTTTTGGCTGGTTAATGTTCTTCACAGTGGCCAGTATGGGGCTGTTTGGATTTGCACTGAAAATAGGGTTGATACCATAGAGATGTTTTTGTTATTGCTGAGCAGGGCTTACACAGAGCCAAGGCCTTTTATGCTTTTCGTGCTGTCACACTGGGAAGGAGGTTGGAAGTGCATGGGAGATTGGGAGGAGACACAGCTGGGACAGGTGACTCAAACTGACCAAAGGGATATTCCAGAACATATGCCATCATGCTCAGTATATAAACCTGGGGGGAGATAAAAGAGGAAGGGGACAGGCTTTTGGAATGATGGTGTTTGTCTTCCCAAGTCACTGCTAAATGTGATGGTGCCCTGCTCTCCTGGACATGGCCTGCCTTTGGGAAGCAGTGACTTAAGTCCTTGTTTTGCTTTGCTTGTGTGCATGGCTTTTGCTTTCCCTATTAAATTGTCCTTATCTCAACCCATGGGTTTTCCAGCTTTTACCTTTCCGACTCTCTCCCTGATCCTGCTGGTGGGGCAGTGAATGAGAGGCTGTATGGGACTGGTGTCTGGCTGGGGCTAAACCATGACACAGATGTATAAAGCTGCCCAAGGGACTGGGCAGCTTTGAAAACAATGCTTTAAATAGATTCAGCTTGCCTTGTAGCAACCCAGTGCTCACAATTGCTTGGGGATTCAGTTGTCAGTTTTATTTTTGACATTCCTTTTCTTTATTCTTTTCTAACTTCTGTGTATTTTAATGTTTTTTTCACAGCTGGAGAATGGTGTGAGTTGGCATAACCCAGAGCCCCCAGAGAATCTGGGAACAGAGAAGGATAGAGCGAATTGCCCCTTCTATATTAAAACAGGTTCCTGCCGATTTGGAGACAGGTAATCAATTGAATATTTACCAGCATAGAAGTGTTTTGGGGAGATGAAAGGAGGCAATTTCATTAGGTCATAAGCAAACTGAAGAAAAATTGTTGTATAAAATACTTCCATGTATTTGGATGTGGATTGAGAGCAGAAACATTGCCTGTTTGGAATTGAGCTATTTTTTTATGGCATATTATTGATGGTACATTCTGATTACATTGGTCAGATTGAGTTTTCCTTAGCTCTGACACATGCACAGATATATGCAGAGTATTTTTGGTTTGTTATCAGTACAGGCCTGAAATGTCAGATTTTGTTTTTTTCTGTTGTCTACTTTGCATATGTTGCATTGTGTAAAAGATAAAATCAAATCTCAAATAGACTAAAGCAAGTTAAGGTAAATCTGCACAGTTGTGAAAGCTTCCAGAATTCTCACTATTTAAATGTGTGAAACATTAGTTCTTGATTCTTGTACACTGATAGGGGAGGGAAGTCTAGTAAAAGGTAAGAACAGAGAAGGAAAACAACATGATGAGAGATGAGCAGCAGCTCTGTAGAAATGGCTGATGAGTCTAGACTCTTTTCAAAGAAGGGATGGAAGAGGGCTGTGGTAGATGAACAGGAAACTCATGAATAGGATGGGAAGGATTATTTCAGTTCAGTCAGGTGGGTCTGAGTGTTTACCAGCTTTAAGAAAGAAAGGACTTTGTCGTATGAAACAAATGGCAGAACTTGTTGCCTCAGGACATAGAGAAAGCCAGAAGAGTAAACAGATTCATGGAGTACGAGTTCATGTTCATTGGTGACTAAGAACAATGATGACCCAAATGCAGCATGTGACTAGAAAGTACCTGATTTTTTTTTTTTTTTTGGTGTGTGTGTGATAATTCAACATTATGGAAGCTTCAAGTCCACATCTTTTTTTTCTATTCTGAAATATGTGTTGAATTCCATAATAAAGATTTGGCCAGCTATTTCACTGCAGACACCATTTTTGGTTTTCAGATATCTGGCTCATTGCAGTACTTTTGTTTCAGTGGTCTTTAATGGAGGTAACCTCCATGGATTATTTATGCATTCAACAGAATTCAGTTTTGCTTTGAACTGTGAATAACCCTTGGAAAACAAATACTGAGGAACATCATATTCTGCCCTTCTTCTTTCATCCATAGTTGTTGATCTCACCTACCTCTCCATCTTTCTTCTTTCTCCTCCCATACCTGCTTCCTTCATATTCTGGTCATTTTAACCACTGGTGCTGTCTGTAAGTTGAAGGACAGGTACAGCCAGGGTAAGGACTGGAAGGATGGGTTGGAAGCAGTTGGGAAAAACTAAGAGCCAGTGTTATCAATAAATAATTGTTGAATCTTGTCAGAGCTCACTGTATCTTGAAGAAGCTTAAACTGGCTGAGTTCACTATTATTCATTTCCTCTAATTCAAACCCTTATATTTTGCAGTAATACTGGATTTGTGGGTCATTAATTTCCTTTTGTTATGTGCTGTATTCATTTTGTGTATAGACAATATTGGTTGGATTTAATATTTATTATTCAAATTGAACAGCAAAAGGAAACAGCTTCTAAAATGTAAAAAAGTAATAATCATCAAATTAATTGTCTCCTGGTTTAGTTTTGGGTTTGGAGATAGGGTGCTTTTGTTGCTTGTTTTTTAAAGTCTAAGGTGTCAACCAGAAGGTGATGACTGGGTGCAGAAAGAACCTTTGTAGCTGAAGTCTGGGTTGTAATTGCCCATTTTGAGACCTGACCTCTCTGCAGTTTGTCTGTGCTGTGCCAGTGCCAGATTAAGAGGGCAGACTAGTCTGGATGTTTTTTTGAGCATGTCCTGAAAAGGACAAATGGGTTGGAGAGTGCATGACCTAGTAGCTTGGGGAAGTATGAAATGGAGATCATAGAGCACAGTGAAATAAACATGGAGGCCAACATCTGTGTTCTGACTGGATCTAAAGGTGTCTGGGAGAGAACTGTATTTCACCATGTGAGGTGGGTAGCTTGAATGGCTGCCAAGAAGATGCAGATTAAGATAAGACTGACTTTAAAGAATTTTTTCCTTTTTTTTTTTTTTTAAGAAGTGGAAAAATACCAGTCTTTTGCTTATCCAGCCACAGGTCTAAACATGCTGGCCTTCCGTCATGCCCTCTCTCTACCCCCATATGATGAGAACAATTTCAGTAAAAGTTGTTTTGTTTGTGGAAAGAAGAGCAGGGATTTGCTTTAAGATGAATTTCTAGAAAGAATACTGGCAATCTTTTAAGCCCTTCAGAAATTGGGAACACATTTAACCCTAGTAGCCTAGAAGAAATTACTTTAGCTCTCATTGTGATGCTGATATCTATAGCTTTTGTAGATACGCTTTCTTAAGCAAGAATGTATTTGTGCGTGGCAGGAAGCATTATGTGCAAACTCACTCCAAAAGATTTGTTTTACTAATTGAAATATGTTGAGCTCCCACTAATGGATTTTCTTTTATAATAACTATAACTGAAAATGGCAAGTGTTTGAAGCTTCAACAAGTGCATTTTCTGCTGCAGGTGCCAATCTTTCCACTTTTCTTTCTTCTCTACGACTCTCCAGGTGTTCTCGCAAGCATAACTACCCAACATCCAGCAAGACGCTCCTCATCCGAGGGATGTTCATCACCTTTGGCATGGAACAGTGCCGCAGGGATGACTATGACACAGATGCGAGTCTCGAGTACAGTGATGAGGAGACCTACCAGCAGTTCCTGGAGTTCTATGAGGATGTGCTCCCTGAATTTCAGAATGTGGGGAAGGTTGTTCAGTTCAAGGTAAGCATCTAAGTGTGGTTTACAAGCCTTAAGAAAAATTCTGTCCAGGATGCCCTAGCTAAATCCTGTGTGCATTAGGAAACTATAGTGTCCTTACAGCAAGCTGTACATCTCTCATGTCACCTGTAAACTTGCCACTGCTGTTATGGAGCATTGTCTTTCTCTGTGTGAATATCCTCTCCCATTCCCCTGAACTGTTATAAAAGCTTGTGCTTTTATATTGCAAGTTCTTCACACTGCTCAACAGCCCACTTACTTAACAGTCCTTTTTTTCCTGTGCTAAGCCCCAGAGGGTCCACTGAGATGGTTAGACAGTATGAGCTGGTTAGACATCTGAGGTACTGTATTTGTGCATAAGGAATGAAATAGTGGGGGTATGAAATGTATATGGAGTATACACCCAAACAATGTCATTTTAGGACTGGCTATATAATAAAATCAGATTACAAAGAACTGAAAAGCTAGTAGGTATTCCAGTAGGAAGAATTATAAAAAGGTAAATTATGTAAATCGTGTTTAGATTCATCATCCATCCTTAATTTGTGCATTTGGTTTGCTGAATGTTTTGTACTGAATTTTTCTCACTTATATTGTGATTACATATGGGGAAAAAGAGTGATCTGTAAATGGAGACCACTGAGATGAACGATGTGTGTTAACAGTCCCATGTTGCCCCAAATTATGGTAGCTTGGATGGTGTAATCTCCTTGTATCGGAATCTATTGCAGCATCCCTTTCTGATTGCCATTCCTGAGTGTTTTCATGCAGTCACCAGGAGGCACAACAGTGCCTTTTCTCCTTTTGTTTCCATCTACTGATGGCTGCCTCGGAACTGAGGTTGTATTAGCATTTCAAGCAAGAGGAAAGTAGAAAGAGTGAATTTTCAATAGTTGTGTAATGAGCTTTATAGGTAAGAAACCTTCATTTGTTTGGAGGAGTATCCCCTCCATATTTTGACACATGGGCTATCAGCAAGCTGTGCTCTCCGCTAGAAGATGGGATGTAGATTCCTTATGGACGTGGGTTGAAATGTCCTACCAGCAAAGTCAGGTATCATTGTTCTGTGTGGCTGTGCTAAGCTGCACCTACCTGGGTCCCTCTGACTGTTTGTGTGGCATTCCTTGGCTTCCAAGGCAATTGTGCAGTAACAGGGTGATTCTTATGGACATTTTCATTACATTAGAGATGCTTCAGAATGACATGTTTGCTGCAGGGATCTTAACTGGGAGTGAGCTGAGTCTCTGCAACTGTTTAGAATCAGATGATACACATCCTCTTTTAGCTGACTTCCTTTTCCAGTGTAGCCAAAGGTTTTATTCTTGCTGTTCTTTCTGGAAAGCTGCTCCAGAATCTGGGAGATCCCAAGAAAACACTCTTCTTTTCCTACCCAAAAATGTCTACACCAAAATCATTCTCACTTGTTCTTGTGTTGACATTGTTTATCTCAAATAGTTTGACTCCTTATCCTGTAATATTTAATTATACAACTACTTGTTGTTGTGACTGAAGCCCTTTCCTGATCCAGTGCACAAAGAAATGTTTCCTGAGGATCAGTCAGGGTTCAGGGATGAAAGGAGCCGCTAGCCTTGTTTGTGCGGATATTGGAAGAGGCCTGGGGGCCATAGGGTTTGGGATCACAGTTCTGCCCTGGGGAACTGCCTTCCACCTGCTTGGGCCTGCCCATCAGGATCTTTCGTAACTAGCAGCAGGCTTTCTGGCAGGTATTTTTTGAGAGCTCTAGATATATTGCGAATGCTAAATCATTACACAAAAAGGGTTTTTAGAACCTGTACAGTGAAAGGTGGTGACTTCAGCTTTTCTAACCCATCTCACAGGGATGCTGTGAAGGTAAATTGCTCCAAAGAGTCTCTTACTGTAATGAATCCCACATTTCCACATGAGGATACTACTAATTGTTTTCAGAGCAGATTTGTCTGTTGCACAGTAGGGTTGGCCCAGACAAGTGCAAGAGTACAAACTGTCTTGTGGGCTAAGCGAAGCTGAGGTGCCAGAGTTAATGAAAGCATAATGCTGGAAACAAACATAAGCCAGAAAGGCTTTTTTCTTTTTTTTTGTTAAAACTAAGTGTTCAGAAGAAAATCATATCTAAGTTGATGGGGATGAGCTGTCGTAAATGAATGGCCCATCTCAGAATGCATGAGCTGCTGTCCAGCATAAACCTTCCACTGCAGTGACTTTCTGTTCCCATCCCCTCAGGTCAGCTGTAACTACGAGCCTCACCTGCGAGGAAATGTCTATGTCCAGTACCAGTCGTAAGTACTCACAGTCGTACTCAGTGCTAGAACTAAACTCCAGAGCTGAGTAATGAATGAGAAGTGTTTGTATAACCCATGCGATTCATTCTCATACTGTAATGGGAGGCCAGAATTGGTGAGTGATGTCTGAACTGATTGTGTGATCGTAATGCTGTGTGTTGTTTTCACTTTTTAAAGGGAGAAGGACTGTCAGGCAGCCCTGGCCCTGTTCAGTGGACGATGGTACGCAGGCAGACAGCTTCACTGTGAATTCTGTCCTGTGACGAGGTGGAAAACTGCTATTTGTGGTGAGTCATGTAAACACTTGAAAAAGAGATTAAGTGTTATTCAAAGAGTACTAATGGCAGTGAAAAAGAAGGATTAGTCTGCAGCTTTCAGATCTGCCTAATGTTGTACTTCATTTCTGTTTGGAAGACAAATGTGCTAACTTGTCTAGATCTAGGAAAGAAAGGGAATATTATACCATGGGATGTAAATGTGCCTGAATTGTTTTAGTGGATTTACCTTGGACTGGAAAAGGAGGTTTGGATTCTAGCTTTGGAAATAATAATCTTAAGATGAAACTAAAGGAAGTACTACTTCATCTCTCAAAAAGCAACAGCAGTTTCTGAACTATCAACAGTTCTTAGCAGTAGCTATCACATTTAACATCCAGATTTACACTCTTAGATTAAGATAAATGAAATTTAATGAAATGAAAAATGAAATTTGTTTTAAGGTATAACCAAACCTTCATAGCTGTTAAAAAGTTAATTCCAAGAAAAGTACACAGGGAAAATTAATCTTGTGTGAATTAAATTGATAGGTGGTCAGAGGCATGTTTTTCTGTTTGGAGAAGTGAAATTCAGTTTATTAAGTTTCTTCCCAGTAGGTACATAATGAAGAAAGAGATTTAATTGATGATCTGGTTCATAAAAAATCAAACCCTACTCTGTTGCAGGCTTATTTGAAAGGCAGAAGTGTCCAAGAGGGAAACACTGCAACTTTCTTCATGTATTCAAAAACCCAAACAATGAGTTCTGGGAGGCCAACAGAGACATACGTATTTCTCCTGAACGGACTAATCAGTTGTCTAAAAACTCTGAAAGGAGAAACAGATCAAGCCATCGTGATGACTATTACAGCCGGTCCAGGAGAAGGGGCAGCCCAAGCCCAGATCACTCTTACCGGAGAAATGGAGAATCCGAGAGAAAAAAGAACCGCCGCAAAAGCAAGAGGCGGCACCGATCGGGCCGGTCGAGGAGCCGGGAGAGGAGGAGGTCTCACAGCAGGGGCAGGAAGAGGAGAGGCCGCAGTCGCAGCAGAAGTCACAGTCGAACTCGCAGTCGCAGCAGAAGCCGGAGTTCCTCTCGATCCAGGAGCAGGGGTAAAAAGAGATCGAGCAGCAGAGGAAAAAATAGTGAAACTCCCAAAACAAAGTGAGAGTTACTTTTAGAAATCGGTAATTGATCAAAAATAGATCTGACAGAGAAATCTTTACAATAGGGCACCAGATATATTTTGAGTTTCAAATAAAGTGGTGTTACACATTAAAATGTTTCTTCCTAATAAAGGAACCTAGTTTATTGTGTGCTAAGCTTCAGAGAATTAAAAGTTTTAAGTCCTATAGAAGGTGTGAACGTCAAGTACTCTAGCTACTCTGTCCCTCCGAACTGCTGCGACACCTGGATACACACTGAGTACAAATAGAGAAGTAAAGCCTCTTTGGTATATGCTTATTTCTGTTATGTGTGTGTTAAGTGTTTCCTGTCCCTGTAGGGAGTTAGTACAGAACAGCCAGTGTGCAGTAAATTCACACCCTTGCACACTGCAGACCAAGGTCTGTGTAGACACTGCCGTTTGTACTTTTTCATCTGTTTATGGGAAATCTCTTTCTAGACAAAGTAAATATAATCGTATTATGAGTTTGAGTAAAGGGATCTCAAAGACATTACTGTTTGATTGTACAGTACTTGCCCAGTAGGAGCTTTGTGGTCATGAGTGTTGGATTTTTCTCTCTCCCCTGACTTGAGCTGCTGAGCTAATTGCCTGTAGGGATTGCAGTAGACTAAAACCGAGTAGGAAGTACACAGAGAAACAATCGATTTATTCAGTACCTTAATCCCCAAGTAAGAGCTGAGACCATGCAACTGTAATCCTCCAGCAAGGATAGAAAATACTTCACATACTTATTGGCTGCACACCACTTGTAGGGGAAAACAACTTGCCTAACCTGTGCTGGAGGGGTGGAAGTGTCTCAACTGGGAACCAAAGATGCAAATGGGATTGCAAAGGCTCAATCGAGATAGTTGCACAGTGGCTGAAGAAAGTGAAGGTTTTATACCTGAAAGAATACTTTGGTTTTGGGAGAGGAGGACTTGACTTTTTATGGTTTTTTTAGGTTTATTTTACAAACAGTTTTAGGCACCCTACTTGCCTCACTTTCCTACAGCCAAGGTAGAGAGTAGGGTACATAAAAATGAAGTTAAAGGGACAAAACTTTTTTGAAATGACATCTGTATTAGTAAAGTACCTGCAGTTAGATAAATCCTTACTAATATTTTTTCACTTTTAAACAAAAGATTTGTGCTGTTAGATGGACTGTTCTTCATATAGCTTAACTTTAGGTATTTAACTTGGGCACCTCAGATGCTTGGAGAGAGCAGTTTGTGGGGCTGAAGGTGCAGGTCTGCAGAGATACCTCCCTCTCTTTAGCCTCTCCAAAGAACTTGTGCTCCTGCCCTTAGAATACAGATCAGACCCCACGAGTTAGAAGCCTGAAGTAGGCATGAAGTGCTCCCAAACAGGAATTCATTAAGACTCCAGTGATGTAACATGAACTACCATAGAAAATCTGGATTATCCAAACTTTACCAATAGCATTTCTCACAGCAAGAACGTTTTTTTCCCCCCAGGATAGTTAAGAGTGAGTGAACATTGCTTCTGGACGCAGTATATAATTATTTTTGCTTTTCTAAATGCATACTGCACCTAGCATGCTGATTATACATTTTTCCTTCTTTCTTCATGTGTAACTGTTGACCAATATGGAGTAATACAACAAAAGTGCTATGTATTGATGTTCAGTTCAAACCCGATTTTCACTATATATTGTCATAACTGTAGGCAGAGCTGTAGCTTAGTTAATTTGATTAAATGTTTTAGTTATTAACAGATGTAGGAATTGTAATTTAATAGCATAACTTTTAAAATAATAACTTTGAAAGGCGTATTTCAAAGGATAGACAGCACTAATTTTAAATTCCATTTGAGAAATTTGTGACCATCATATATTTCTCATAACATACCTTTTTCTGACTGCACCTTACAGACAGATTTTCCCTGAGGTTTCTGTTTTTCTGTAGATGCTCAATTGTCTCAGTGGTCACTTGTGCAGCACGTGGCAAACTCTGGTTCAGTTCCCTGGAGCAGAACTGAACTGGCATTTCCTGTGTGCAGAGATGCCACTAGCAGGCTGGGATCTTTCTTTCCCTGGGGCTGCCTTTCTTCCCACAGCTCGTGCTGCTGACCCAGCCTGCTGGCCAAGGCTCTCCAGTGGGAGAGCTGCCTTGGACCATCTGCAGACGCTGTGCATCCCTTGTCACGCGGCCGGGCTGTGGCAGAGCATTATCCCAGCAAAATCAATTATTGAGCTCAAGGAGTGCTGGAGTGGGTGGTGAGAACCTGTGACCCCTTGGGTGAAATAAGAAAACTAGGCCTCTGTGGGATTAGAAGCTAAGTACAAACTCTCACCCATGTGAGAATTCCACAGGTAATTAGACCCCTTGTCCCTACAGTTTCATAACAGCATCTGGGAAGCTGAGTGGCTGTATTTTTTCTTTTTAAAAAAGGTTCTTGTAATTAAAAAAAAAAAAAGGCTTGCTCAGAAATGCATGTAAAATTTAAAAATACTTTATTTCTGCTACTACAGTGGCTGAAGTTTCAGCTTGTTTTTGTTGAGGTCTGGACCCAACCATGCTGGCTGTACCTGTGCAGTTAGTAGGACTGGTAGCTGTGATTACCATTCACTTTCACCTGGAGTCTGTTTATTACACAGAATTTGAGTGCTATAGATCTGACATTTAGCTTGCATTTGTCAGCATGAAACCTAGGATCCAACCAGTTTTCTAACTTCATGTTTTTCAGTATTATTTCTCTACTTTATAACCTTAAGTAGTGTTATATGCATGGTTTTGTGTTATTATTAGCTGAGTGAGCTATTTATTCTGGAGAGACAAAGAGACTAGAAGTTTTTTTATGTTAAGCTTAATTCTTTTCTTTCCCAAAGGGGCGAAGCCCTAGAAAAACACAGGAAGGATTTAAATTTGCAACAAATAGCCTGTTCCCACTATGTGTTATTCTGCATATTCCACAGAAAAGGACCTTATAAAGTGAACTAATATTGCCCAAGTTTTGATTTGTTTCTTTAATGACTGCTTAAAAGCAGCAGCTTTCAAAATATTTTTTTCACTTGTGAATTCTGCAGGGATCACAGAGGTGTTTTGGCGCGGTTCTGAGAGCAGGTGTTTACACAGAGATTGAGGGTGGCAGTGCCAGGGCCTGCCAGACACCTTGTTTCGGTCAGGATGGGGGGAGCAAGCTCTGCTCCTGCCCATCTGTGGGAGGAGGAACAGCCCCTCCGGGCAGCAAGGCTCGCCTTGTTCCAGCAGCACAAGGGCAATAGTGGCAGCGTGGTGGGAATTCCCATAGGCACAGGCGCTGTCCGGCAGAATTAAAGCATCAGGTAACTGGGCTTGCCCCCTCGAAGCAGTGCCTTTCCTCCAGCTGTAGCTGTGGCCCCCTCTGTGGGATTTCATTCCCTGCCTGCCTGTCCAGAGTAGCAAACTCCCATGATGGGGTGCGGAGGGGTAGCACGTGTCTGTGTGCTGAATGCATGGCGTTTCTTATGGAAGGGGAACAAGTGTACCTGGAAAGGCCTTCCCTCTCTGGCCCCTTCTTTTGTGTATATTGGGCACATTGTCCAAAATGCATCCCAAGGGACTCCTCTCCCAGCTTTATGCCCTGTGGTGGCAGCATGGCTGTCTTGGATCTGGTTTTGTGTTAGCACGTTCAGTGTATCAGAAACTGCTCTCAAGTGTACCAGTGACATTCATGTGAGCTAAATAACTTGGTTTTTTTCTAAAGACGTGCAAGAGCCTGCTCAAAGATGCTTTGCTTCCTGTCCTAGATCAACACTTCTTTCAAAACATGAAAGGTGAAAGTCTATGCTAGTTAGTAACCTAAAGACTTAATTTACTTTCTCACATCATCTGAAGAGTGCAGCTCCTTTTCCTTTCACTGTAAGCTTGTTGTAATTAAAATAAACGCCAATGTATCAGCTGAATTCAGTATCCACGGTTAAAACCTCAAAACAATGCAACATTGAGTGTCAAGCCATGAGACAGACTGCAAAGCAAGCTGCACAAGCATAACCCATGGCACAAGGTAAAGACTTAAGTCACTGAAGTTGAAGACACTCAAGCCAACAATCAGCTTGCCTAAATAATCCAGAAATTCCAAATGATTCTTTAGCTCCCCCCATCCCTTCCCCCCAAGACAGAAAATTCAAGAAAGAAAATTTTTATTTCAAATAATTTCAGAAATGCCCAAAGATGGTAAGTTTTCCTCATGCTTTGCTGACATCATCAACCAGTTCAGTCCTTTTAGAAAGGTGGAGAACAAATTTGTCTGAGAAGTTTTTGTTTGAGCCCACAATTGTAAATGTTGCATTGACTTGCTCAGAATTCCATGAAAGGAATTGAATATTCAGTCTGTATTTTCCAGAACTCTCTCTGAACATGTGGTTTCTTTTAATTTTCAAATGAAGTGGTACTACCCCATCAATTTAACATCCACTTTAATAAATTTCATGTTTAATGTGGTAAGCCTTCCAAAAAATTGCTAATTTATTGCTTTCTGTACAATTTAAGTGGATGTAAATAACTAATCTTGGACACAGTATACTCAACGTTTTTTAATGAAGTGCTCAAGAACAGGTTAAGCACTGTAATAAAATTTCCCTTTTTTTTTTTAAGCCAGCAGTGAGTAGCCTCTTCTTTCCTCTGCAAACACCAGCACTAATTACATATAAACACACAGCAATGGTGTAAAAATGGACATTTATTACAATTAAACCAATGTGACAGACAGAGGTCAAACAGTTTGTCACAATCACAACAAAGCTTAATTCAGCCAAGCACATACAAGTGACAGTGTAAACTTTAAAAACATATTTAATACATACAAAATTGCTTCTGGTTTGAAGTGGTAAAATTACCTTAATTTAAGTCAATCTCACACACCAGGTCATTCCACTGCAATTTCACCCTCCTCTATTCCTGCCCACTGCGCACTGGAGAAATGCCCTGGGACAAAAACGGTCTCCAGCAATCTGGAATCTCTAAGAGTAAATCCCAGAATGGGCATAAGTAGACAACTTCTAATGCCCCGAGTTCACGGGCACTACCCTGGGACTGCCACAGGAGTAGCACACACAGCCCTGCCCTGGCTGGCCCTTCTGTTGCCACAAGCATTTATGCTGGGATCTGGATCAGGGGCCTTGGAAGTGGCAACATTGCACTTTTCCTGTTGGGTGCCACTTAACCGTGATCCCATCGAGCTCACAGCCCAGCTCTCCAGCTGGCCACAGAAGTGCTGCTGCCATCAACACTGCCAGAGCCAAGCTTTGTGAAAACATGAACAAGCCACAACTCCTGGAGTGAGGTTCCTGGGGAGGAAGGGGACAATCCCACCTCTACGGGGAACATGCAGATGCACAGCAGAACTTGGCAGCTCCCAAGTGCGGCACTACCTCCTCAAAACCACACATCAGTGGAATTTCCTCAACCAAAGCAGCTTCAGGTTTATAATTACTGGTCTGCTCAAAGAGTCAAAATATTACTGGATATCAGTTTACATTTGCAATGAATATACTATACAAATCTAATACCTAAGAGCTGTCACTGCAAATTAGTTGGTTCAACTGTACATTACGCAGGATTTCCTAAGGGATGTGTCACATTTAAGGTGTAAATCAAGAAAAGCAGTCAAATGACATTGACACTTAGTGTGGCCTTTTGTTTTTCCTACAGGTACCTATACATCAATTGAAGCATAACTATAAAACACCAATAAATACAAAGTAATTGGTAAACTTGGAAAGAAAATAATAAAAAGTCCCTTTCATAAAACTCCTTCTTCCCCATCTTTGAAAGTATTCAATTTTCATCATGCAAATAATTCTATTCGGTCAGAAAGCTGACCTCCTTTCCTGTGTTCATGTTCAGAGAAAGCTAATATCAGACCTAAAAACAGTTTCCTTATTTGTTTTGGGTTTCTTTCCTTCTTTCCCTTTTGAGTATAGTAACTTGCACAGTTTTGCTCAAGGTAGCTACACTAAAATACACCCTCATGTCTAGTGAGCGAATCACTTTGCAGTTCTCTTGTAAAAAGCAGTTATCACCTTAACAGTTTTTACCAGTTTGATATGCAGATCCTGGCAGGATTCTTTGGTATAATGACAAATTCAGTAGTAAACAGATATTTCCATTCTTTATGCAACAACTGAAATAAGCAGAATTATCACAAGTGGTGACTGAAATGTAGATGAACAAATTCTTTGGTTGCATAAACACAATTTCCACACCATGACATTTCATGTTTGGAGTTGTCTGTGTAGTTTCTTTTCATTTAGATATGCTATGCTATGTCATAATAATACATTTATTTCCTGAAGTCAAGTTTCCTTATAAAAAACAGTACACTTATCGAAGTCAAATGCAATTTTCCTATAAATGCAGTGAAGGGAGACACTGAGTCAATTTAAATCTAATTCCCTTTCATTATAAATTTAGAACTTCGGTTTCTTGTTCCCTTTTCAAAAAGTATTTTTTCTTGTAGGCCTGAATGAAGCAGCTTAGCAAAACAGTAATACTGACAAACAGCATCTTACACCATTAGCTAAACATTACAATGATGGCAGTGAACATTTACAGTATGAAACACTGAGATGGCATCAGCTGAAGATTTATGTCAATCCGATTTCTTCAAGTACACTACGAGGGGTCTCTGCTTCCTATGGAGGGAAAATTTGAGACAGTAGTAAATGAACCCTGCGTTTCTATTGAGCAGCACTGAACATGGGTTAGTATGGAAGATGCTGAATTAAAAAAAAGAAAAGCTGAAAGACACGAAAACATACAAGTACTGCTATTTGCAAACATGGTATTAGCTGCACTTTTCACAGAGCTGTTAATTAGATTGTCATGGTTCACAGGAATAGCTGGTAGATTTTATTGCCCTTAAGCGCAATAAAAATAAAACAATTCAGATGTACCAGCAGGGAACAAATCACAACCAAGTAAGAGACAGGAATTGGGGAGGGATGGGGAAGCATCTTGCAATGGAGTCAGTGATTTTTGTGGTGAATTGTTTCACAGGTCTCCAAAATCTGTTAGGGAATAATGAATAAATGGATGAATGAAACTACCGATGCAACTAAGATACAGTATCCCTTAAGCTCTTTATAAAAAGTCTGGGGTTTTTACAGTGTTCCCATGCTTAATTCATAAAAACAGGTCAAGGTACCTTAGTATGCCTGGTGTCAAGTAAATTCACCCCTTTTAGAAGCAGAGGAATTTCTAAGACAGAAATTTTCTTATTCTATACCAGGCATAATGTTTTAGGTTAATTCTAATTTTAAAAAGCTTTCTTTTGATTCAGAGCAAGTTATTTAATACCAAATTCCAAAGGGTTATCATCAGTTTTGTATTCATTATTTCCATAGTATCTGAACAGAAACTGTTTACACTAGAAACATTAGGCTGACCTTTTCCATAATTATTAACAATGTCATAGGAAATACAAGGGAATACTGTATCCATATGGAAACAAACAGTTTCAATAACGAGAGTATGAATAAACTTACTTTAGCATCCTAAAACAAGACATGTCATGCAGCAGAAAAAGAAGGTAGATAACAGTTAAGGCAGCCAACAAATTATTTTTCAACTCTTTGTAAACATTTATTAGGAAAAAGTTGTCAGTAAAATACATAATGAAACACCTCAAATCTTGCAAATAACATCTGAACATTGTCTCTATCAACCTTGACTATGTAGCAAAAATGATCAAGTTTAGTATCCTTATTCAGCTCATGTATAAGGTGATTCAGCAGAGAAGGAACAAGCTCTGACACTTTAAGGCAACTTCATTTAAAAGTCAGTCAGAGCTTGGAACAGGCCTCCTCTGAGCACTTTTAGATGGCTTCCAAAATCCAGCAGCACGTAGGAAATTGCAAGTAAAACGCAAGTTAAATCTGGAAACAAGATACTTGCTGTATTAAAGATGTAGTGGTGGCTTGTTTTTTTTCCCCTCACTGATGCAATATTTAAATATTCTTAGAACTGCAGTGACCTTGATAAAGCCAGACAGGACAGCAGGATTAAAGATTTACATGTGTGTTTTAACACAAATCTCCCAAAAAGGAGACACTGATTGAAGAAATGGCTATATAGCATTTTTAATATAACCTGTTCCATTATATTCCCAGATTACTTTGTTGCATTCATTTCACAAGACACACATCTCCTCTATCCACCAACCTAAGGCTTTTAATCAAGAAATCCTACATTGCTAACTATGGCAACAGAACTCAGGCTATTCTAACAGAACACCTCAAGCATTTTATGGATATAACTATATAATCATAAATATATTGAAAATATTTGTAATAGATCCACTTTTCAGTTTTAAATTGATTAGACAGTAGTGGACACATAAGAGTTACTGAGGGGTGAAGCAGGTTATTTACAAAATCGCCTGAAAACAAACTTATCAATACCTATGAAGAAATACAGAGCACTGCTGCTGCTGTCTTTAGAGCAGTTCAATATTGTTGTCTCCACTGCCAATTCAAAGTCATAGGTGATTTTCAACAGGCATATACTTAAATAATGACTAAATTTCTTTAAGTAAATCAAGGTCACTGGCTAAAAATTTAAAGCAACCTATTTCAAGGACACTGGCTACTTGTCCACAGATATCTCACCCATAAAACTAATATTTTAATTTTTTTAATACTACAGCAGTAACCTTGAGGCAGTCATGCCTTCTTATAGGCTCATCAACAATATAATCTCAAGGAACACCTAAAGAGTAATGTGTTTTGCTAGAGGAATAATTTCATCTATTATGACTTTTAAAAAACAAACAGAATGAATTATATTATGTTTTGTTCACATTATTTGTTTTAGTAAGTGTCAAACATTTCATCCAATTCTTATGGAAAATGTTTTGCAGTATTATACACTACCTGCAGCTCAGAATCACCCAAGGCAAACAATGCAAATTTGAAATATCAGAACACAGATGAGGAAAAAAGTCATTCACATGAGACAAAAGTGCATGCAATACTTTATTTCAAACATGCCAGAAAAGCTAATTCATTACCTAGTCATTTAGAAGCAAGCAGCTGTATACAGATAACAAGAAAAACAGCATCTCATTACAGCTCAATGCACAGCATTTTAAGCCAACAGGCATGAAATAATGCAGGCTAAAGCAGCATTAACCAGACATCCGAACACATTGTTAATGGCTTACAGAAAAAAAGGCAAACTTGGAAATGGAAAACCACTCCTATGATCTTGTTTTCTAAGATTCCAGAATGCTGCAAATCCAATCCAAATCTTTTGTCTAATCCCCTAAATCTCCCATTTTTATGTCAGTTTAACATTTGGAAGGTAGTGCATTACCACATATAGAACTACTGCTCATGGTTAATCTCAGTAACCACTTCCTTGTTAATTACACTAAAACAATTTTCTAAACCAGTATTGGTTTTCAGTTACAGACAGAGGATGCAATACATGCCCTCTCACTCTGCCCACTTCTCAATGGAATGCACTTACATTACCCTCGTGGCAGTTCTCAGACACACAAGGCAGCCTGCACTTAATCTGGAAATGCCAATTTAAGAAGATGTATTTTAAGTATACTGTTAATGGACTTAGATCTTTCCAACTCTAACAATTAATGGTTGGACTCAATGATCTTAGAGGTCTTTTCCAACTTTGATGATTCTATGATTCTATTATTCATTCCAATGACCTTGTTCTGACCTTCAGCGGCAGCAACTGTTCAACTACTCACAAGAGTGTTTTGAACATTTAAATAGAAATGTTCTAGCTTCAAATTTACCTAAGTCATTCTCTTTGACCTAATCAATTCTGCCTTCCTCCTCTTTGTAAAGTCAGTCACACTATTGTGCCAGTCTTCAGAAAAGAGTACTGGAATTTGCATCTGTAAGTAAGATGCACTGTCTGTGTAGAATTGTGTGTACCATCACATAATACTTGTGTGTATACATATTTCACATGATACTGTAAGTCCTTCACTAGTTTCTTTGTTAAGTATGAACCTCACCTACGGCTTTTAAGCGTATGTTTAAATACCAACACAACCTATTTGAAAGATAAACACAGGTTGAGTAATGTTACAGTAAGGTGTTACAGTATATAGATGTTTAGCTCAGAAAATGCTACAGAACTTTTAAGCATAAGACTTTAAGCTTACACACAATAAAAAAGTTAAACCATATGCCAACAAGCACAAGTTTTGTTGAAATGAGACACGTGAAGAGACAACACTGTAAAACAGAGGGGGAAGAGGAAAGTACAACAGCAGAGAATGGTTGTGGCATTCTATTAGATTCGAGATGACTGGATTCAGCAAGCTGATGATAATGTTCTGTCATGAGTAAGTCACAGGTCTATCTCCTCTGAAACTCTGCATGCATGATGAATGAAGCCATTTAGTACACTGGTACATTAAAGTATTCATGACGTGGCTACAAAAGAAATGTACATATTCTTATACATAATAAAACGGTGGACAGATATGCAAGAAAACAAAAATATTATTTCATCATTGTATCTCTGACATTAAAAGGACATTTGATACAGAAATACAATATTCCATTTTTGACTACTCTAAATTTTCGGAGGGGGGAGAACCATCATTTCACCCTCCCCCCCCCCAGCTTGCATGCTGGGTCCAACAACACACAGAACAAGTTCACATCACAGTTACTGTATTACATAAGCTAAGAGTTTCTTCTCAGCCCAAACACGTTTGAAGCAGAGAGACTGCTCCAGAGATGGACCACCCTCTCTATTATTTGCACAATTTTTGTCTCTATGGAGACATCAACTGTGGGCCTCTGTCAGAGATGGGCACTGGGCTAAGTGACATCTGACGTCACCCACCACAGCTGCTCTAATAAACACACCTTTAGAGGCACCAGGCCCCTCACACACGGCTGTGAGCAGCACGTGCCACGGCAGCAGAGCTGTGCCACTACTGGTGACAAAAATTACATTTTATAGAAACAGTGTCTGTTTTAAAAAAGGGAGGTGTCTGATACACCTCTCATAGCTGGCAAAGTTTTCTTTGCTTTTGAATTATGCTGCTGAACTCAATACACTCTTGTATGATTAGCATGAATGTTAGTACACAATTTGCTGAAAGATGAGCTAGAAATAAAGCAACACTCAGTTTTCTGTATTAAAAATCAGTGCCCTGAAGACAGATGAGGATATTTTTAATGCAGTTATAGCAATTTAGGAATATCAGCCCCACATATGCCCATTACACATCTTCTGAGTGAAAACAAAACACACAAAACTCAACTCTCTGAATATCAGTTAACATTTTTCATTATGTGCCCATTACAATCTTCAACCTATTTCAGTATTCCACTCCCCAGAATTACAGAAGTCTTACAGCAGAATGGAGGAAGTTCCCATGACTTATAAACCTGTCTCCTCTGCTTATTCACATCTCAGTTTATTCACATGTTCAAGCTTGTAAATTTTTAAACTCTAATCTCAAATTACAAAAAAGAGCACAACAAAAATATCCTAGGAGTTTTACAACACTTATATTGCTTTTCAGTATCAGTAATCCCAAGATTATCCCACAGTAGTTGGAATTATTCTGACCAAGCTAACTATAAATTCAGTAGTTCAAAAAATAACAGCACCTATATAACTCAGTGACAACTGCAAATAAGTTCTAGTCTGCTGTGATTTTTGGCAGAATTCAAAATAATCTAGTATATAATACGGAATTACAAATGTGAATTTTAACTCTTAAAACCTCTCATACTGCGTAAGTCAGAAGTGTCAGCCTACATTAAAAACAAAACGCTGAGGCATATTCCTAACCGGAAAAGGAATTGCATGATGATAGTGTACTCCCCAAAGAATAGAAGTTTTGACTAAAAACAAAAAAGTATTAACTTTAGAACTCCTGGAGCCTCCACAGACAAAAGATTCCCAGAGAGATCCTTATAGAAAACTCCTGCTTTACTTACACTGCTGGCATGATATAGATTCATGAAGACAACTGAAAAACAGGCATATTGTAACAATCTAAAATGCCCATTTTTTACCTGGAAATATAAGTACACATGTGATTCCCCTCCTCCTTGAAAATAACACTTATATCTTCCAGTGTTTTGCCCTAGGAAGCCTGGAGCCATCAGCGTCCTCACTGAAATGCCTATCAAACCTCAGACATATTTCTCTTTAATTTTACATTAGTTCTCTGGACAGAAGAAGAAGGAGAGCAGCTCATTTTCTAGCAGTCTTATGAGGCTGATTATAACCCACTGTTGTTGTGTTCAAAGATTATCCCAGGCTGCACATGTTCTTTAGCACACTCTTTGGCCCAGAAACAGTGACCATGTACCCTTTTACATAACTGGTATCAATTAATAAGGACATGGAAGTGTTCACTTCATGTTTATCCAGTTGTTAACCTTTCCAGTACTTTCCAAAATTCTACTCTCCCACACAGTCCTGGGGTGTTCCCCACTCTGTTTGTATTTTCAGTGGTTTATAACTTGAGGAATTCACCGTCTTTGCCATGAAAAATATGGTATAGAAAATTATACAATTGACTCAAATCACTGCTATGAAATTAGTGCCTCATCTTGACAGAAACTTCTTATCTACTGATAAAGTAAGATAGATTGTCAGATAACAACAGGACAAAAGTGGTTATTTGGTTCCTGGCAGCTTTTTCATTTACAGGACATGTAAACACCACCTGCAACTAGACCAGATAAACCAACTTTGCAGAGGTGAAGCTAAAGGATTAAATGGAAGACAACAAGTAACAGAGATATGAAGGACAACACAGCAACAGTGAGAAGGAACACACTGCAGTTTCAGGGAGGCCTCTGTACCCCACCAAGGACGTCTGGGACCACCCCACACAGAGGGCCTGGCACCGTGGGCAGCCTGACAAACAACTGAAAGGAAAATAAAGTTTAGACAAATTATTTTTCAACACAGAACTACAGTATCTCAAGTTTCAACTGAGTTTTCCTTTCTTGGTGTTCCCTGCTACACTCTCTCCAGAGCAGGTGGCCTGCTGGTCTGAATACCAGAAAAGACAAAGTGGGTAAGGCACAAAGGTCAATTTCCACAATCATTATCTATGGTACCTTGCCTTCTTTTGGTGGGACTGTGTGGACCTCAGGGATATGCTTCACATGCTCAGATGTTGTCTAAAATAACAATCTAGACCTAATGAGTTTATAAATTAGTTGAAGAGGCAATGAATGGTGTCCTTACAGCACAATACACAACGGCAAACCAGCATGAAATATTACCTCTGAAAAATCATCACTTACTTAAAAATTTGGATGTAAACTGTTTATCTGACTTTAACAAATAGGTCTTAAACCCCAGTTTTGCCAAAGCAGTAATAGCTCTACAATACAAGTTGCACATTGCAATTCCTCAACATTTTAAAGTTAGTAGAATTTATCTTTTTCAAACTGACCTCTGTGTTTACAACTCATTTTAAAAAGCTAATAATACTCTCTGAAATTGTCAGCCTGAGTCATTAGAGATTTTTAAATTAGAAAAATGGTAGAGTTAATTTGAGTAAACAGAACTATTCAGTCAGTCCAACTCAACTGATATTTTCTCAGCCAACTTTGTCATGACCCAATCTAATTAAAAATCATAACCAAAATCAAATTAGAAGGGACTTCATTTAATCCAGTCCTCCAAACAGCACACCTATAACTTTCTTGAGAAATATTCAATCTGTTAAAGGCATCCAATGATTCCTTTTTACTGTGCCCCAGGTAATCTACTTAAATTCCACATTACCATCACCACTGCAAAATTTGCCTAACATCTATTTTGAAATTATTTTCTTGCTGCAATTCAAGGTATTTTAAGTCTGTAGTGGACAAGAAAACACTTATTTCCTCAGGCAAGAGAGATAAGAAATTATTTATGCCCACACCACACAGTGTTTTGCAGCGCTGCCATTTTACTGACAACATCTCATGGCACTGAGAGACTTCATGAATACTTGGCACAACTTCTTTTTCAGAGAATATTTGCTTAGGTTATTGTTTTAACTTCTTTCCCATTAAGCCCAGCACAAAGCCTATGAAGGCAAGCCATGTTAAACTGCAGGAAAAAATTGTAATTGCTACCTTTCAGTAAACACTTGGTTTCCCCCCTTGCCCCAGCATTGAAAAAAACCCTAGCAAGAACAGAAGATGCAGGACCATGGAGTATACAAAAGTTTTGAAGAATTCTACAGAAACAGGCTATGGGTAAGTAGGGGGGATGAGGGCTTCTATTAGGAACATGAAGTTATTATAGCGGGAAGAGATTAACATTTAACAAGCCCTTCTTTAGCAATGCTTCAGAAGCACTTACTTTTACACTCTACTTCTGAATCTTTATTAGGAAATATTTCTAATGAAAGGCTGCTTCAGGAAATTGCTGCTGTTTACTTGCCCTTCCAAGGATTTCAAAACAGGAGAGTATCTGTTTCTTAATCTTTGGTTAGCCAGCTATTTAATAACTCAAATTGGATAGAAGGGTTTGGGTTGGAAGGGATCTTTTAGATCTAGTTCCAACCCTCTTGCCATGGGCAGGGACACCTTCCACTATACCAGGTTGCTTAGTACCCCATCCAGCCTGGCCATGAATATGTCCAGGGATGGAGCATGTTTATTGGAAAAATTCTATTTTACTTTTAAAGGAGAACAAAGTGTTTTCTCAGAGAACCTAGAAACACCCATAAGGTCTTGAACATCTTCAAAGACAAGTGTTGTTCTTCCAAAACAAAAAACAATCCTATATCAGTAACAACTCCAAGTCAAGATCTTGTCTGCAGCTTCCTATACAGAGAAAAAAAAATAAAAACATCTTCAAAACTGGTGTAAATTTGTCACCACAGTTCTCAACTAGAGTCTGAAACAGCAACAGTCATCACACAACTGTTATTCAGCAGAAAATCCTAGCATATGCACACCCTTTGGCTCTAAAACATCACCCCAACAGACCAGAGCAGAAGGGTATGACATAAGATCAGCAGTGGCCTTCCTGCCTCCCTGCCAAAAGCAGAAATAAAAATATCAGTGGAAACTTCATGTACTGTAACTGGATAATAGTGGGTTCTTCCTGCCTCTGAGCTGCTATTCTGATCTGCTGGATCAGGAGTGATAATCGCTCTGGGAGGCCGTGCTCCGTACGTGCCAATCAGCTGCCACGCAGTGAGCTATGAAGAATCAACAGCCTAACCCTTCAGGACAAGGATGGTTCCCAGAACCCACCAGAGGCTCCTCTCTGTCATCATAAAACCACAACTGCTTTAAGCACATACTGTGGTTGAATACTTTGTATTGTGAAGTTAGGACCAAAATTATTAAAGATCACAGAGTTCTCTATCAGATAATCCCACAGTGTCTGTATGTTTGGTAAACTGCCAAACCACGCACATAAGGATTCAGTAATGTTTTCCAGCACTGCAGATACAGGTTTGCATTACTTAGTCTCCTTTACTTGAGAAAGCATTTCCTAAACTGCAGGGCTGTATCTCTGAAGGGATGACCAGAATATACTGCTGCAACAAGCCATGTCACGTCCGATATCGTTCGGCTTCCATGGCAATGGCATTTAAGCATTTCCCTTCCTTCCTGGTCCTGCAGCACTTTGCCTTATAATTGTTTGGACAAATGTTTGCAGCACAAGTTGTAAACATGGAAAAGAAAAGCTGTTGCTGACTATGTGTTTTTAGAAATGAGCAATTTAAATTGGATCAGTTTAAATGGATCTGAAATCCAGTTCTAGAATGGTCATATAAATAGTTTTTCTGGCACAAAAATAAAGGGAAAGGAGAACTGAAAACTCTTTAAGTCAACACTGCTGCTAAAGCTCCTTGCTACACTCCTATGACTCAGGACAACAGCAGGGGTGCAGCATCAGACAGGTAAATTAGAACTTACCTATGCTGACTGACTTGGGGATTCATAGCAGACATTGAGTCAGGACAAGAGATGTGTGGAACACTGGCTTTTTAAAACACTTGGATACTGGGAATTTTTAAAAATAAGATGTAATTTAAGTTACATTATTAACTTTAGCAAAAGTCCTGGATTGCCAAAAGCAGTTGCCTTTTACTTCCCTTCTCAATGCCACTGCTTTCTTCCTCCTGGCACTTCCCTCATGCTGCCCTACATGTGTTCAAATTTTAGCTAACAAGCTGAGAGTCACATAAGGACAGGGCAAGTGGATCAATACAACACAAAGGTGGCAGTAGGAATGGATCTGGTCTTCTCAACAAGAGTCACTGCCAGCACGATTTTGGGTGATGAGGAAACTGCACCCTGACTTGACCGCCTGTGAACTGCTCTCAATAAAACCCAAAAGTTCTACACACCAGAACTTAAATGTTCAGTATAAAGATTTCACTCAGTTTCGCTGTGTACCACTTAGGTTTTTCAATATTATACTAGGTTTACCTTAAACTTCCCCAAATTCTGTATGCGGTTGACTACTTCTGAACATGTGGCTTTTTACAATTGCCACACAGCACATGTAGAACTCGACACCCTAGTTTACAAGCAAGTTTCTCTGAAACAGCTCTCAAAAACTCCACATTCTAGTCATTCTGTGCTTGTTTGTGCCTCAGAGAGTAACATGGATTAAGTAATTGGAAGCTGTATAACCTATCAGTTAAATGTCAGGCTAAGCCAAGCACCAAAGGCTGAGTCAAACTCCTCCCCTTGTCCAAAGACAACCTCCTTTATCTCAGATCATCTCTCTTTAAGACAGATGATCTCCATTCCTCTACACAAGCTGCAGTTCCTTATGGCAGGCAAACTATTCCCCATCTCTTATTATGTGTAACTTCCATCTGTCCTCTCCACTCACCCTAGCAGACACCATCTCCATTTCTCCATAGTTTGAAGAGTCATAACAACCTTGTAAATTAAGCTCTAAACAAAGCAACTATTCCTTCATTCTTTCCAGGGAACACTACAGGCCAAGAAGTAACATCTCAGGGGCATCAGATAATGCCACTGTGTTTAGCTTAGTGGGGACAAAGCACATTTCTTCAACACTGGGCCCATACATAGAATTCATCTGGGACATACTCTAGGCAAGTTAACTCGAGTCACACAGAATTCTCTAAGCCTGAGTTTGTATGTGCCAGAACTGGTCTTTGTAGCCACCTAAGGTAACAACAAGAGAAAGATTAAGGCTCAGAAGTAAAAGCTCTGTTCTTAGCACAGGCCCCAAACAACACAGATAACTTAAGTTTTTAATCACAAGTTTTACAGTTGCAGTATTAATATTAACCTTACCATGAGAATCACACTCTTTGTACATGAACTTATTGTGAAGAGGAGAGAAAAAGGAAGAAACATGGGGGAAAAGTGTAGAAAGTATCCAGCTTGAGCATTTGTTTTTTTCCTAGTTGTTTTAGGATATGTCCAAGATCATACAAGAAACTGTGTTTTCAAAAAATGACTTGTTGGCTGCCCTACTTCTACAGGTCCAGTCAAAAGCAGGTTATTGGCTCCTCTCCACTTCCAAACACAGATCAATGGCTGTATCATATACGAGGAAACTCTTAAATGGTAAAAACACCCATACACCAACAGTAAATTTGATTTTGAACACATAACATATATTTTTGTGTACTATAATTATTTTCTTTTAACTAGAAACTAAATCCTGACATTTATAAAGCAGTGTATGAAATTAGATCTATTACCACAATTCCACATTACAAAAGCCAATTTGTTTACTCAACTACTTGTTTATCATTATATCAAATAAGCAGCAGACTAATTAAGTTTTCCCAGCAAATCATTTTCATGTGTTTTAAACTTGCCTTATGCAAAATAAAATCTTACCTTTATTAGTAGGACTGCCACAATGTATTCCACTTATGCTTTGGACAAAAATATGTTGCAATGCACTATATATG